AATTAAGTTTTTTTTTTTTAAAGATGAGAGCTCACTATGGTTGTTGCCCAGACTGGCCTCTCATGTAGCTGGGACTATAGGCGTGTGCCACCATGCCTGGCTTTTTGTGTTTAATCTTATGCCCACCTTGCCGACTGCCTTGTCCCACATTCCTGCTTCCCCACTCAGTACCTGTGTTTCCAGTGTCACCGTTCTCATTCCTGCCATCTAGAGGGAGTTTTTTTGTGTGTTTGGACAGCGCTTTCTGCAAAGGCACTAGCTGGAGGGGGACTGGGCTCGGTAGAGGAGCTGTTTTGCTCAAAGGTAGGAGAAATGCCAAGTTCAAGGCTTGGATGCTAAAGGAAGAGTCTAGAAAACTGGAGGAATTCCTTGCTGTGTTTGCAGAGTCTAGGATGGGGGGCACTTCATAGGTGCCCCACAAACCCCTGTGGAACGAGGGAAGGAGAGGAAGAGATGCCAGAGAACGGAGATTTAAAAGCCCAGCAGGCGTGGTCTCGAGAGCCCTGGTGGAGGGGCTGGTCTTGGATGGTGGGAGCAGGACATGCTTGTGTCCCCTCCTCTGTGGCTAACCCGAGGCGAAGAGGAGGCAGGTGTGGGGCCTGGCGGGTTTATGGACTTCGTGGTAGAAAGTGTCTTCTTCTCAGTGTGACGGGAGTGGAGAAGGTGTCCAACATCTGAAGAAAGAAAAGACTAGAAGGACTTAACTGCAGGAGGAGGAGCAGCCAGTGGGTGAGAGAAAGGGCCAGCCCCTCTGCTGACACTGTTTTTGGTGGCAGTGACAGATCCCAGCTCCTGTCTCTGCTATTCTCCTACCCCAACCCCATTGACTCATCGCTTTCCCTGCCCTTGTTAACCGATTCCTTGAGTATGGCATAATGCAGATATGACTGAATTGTAATGAGAAAACGAGAACGAGTGACTGGGAGCAGGTGGCATGTGACCTGCATCTTTAAGCGTGGGTAGGATGCTGATGGAGGAAGAGGACACTTCACAATAAGGCTCATACTCAAAGGAGGACAGGGTGGGGATGGGTGTATGGAAATTGATGGTTGGATTGCGTGGCTGCTGTGTTTCCTTTATAAGAGCAAAAGGTCTGCGTCCCAGGAGCCATCGGGTGTGTGCCCTGCATAGGTTGCCTTGTCGCAAGTCTCCTTTGCTCTATGGCACTGTCCCTGCTGTGTGGCAGGTGCTTTGCTGAATCTTGCTGCATTGTCACTGTTGTTTCGGTGTCGTTTCTAAGTGCTTAGCAGTGTTGAGCATATAGTGCCTGCACCATAAATATTAACTATTAACATTACTAGTAATTAATTGCAAACTCTGACTTCTCCTGTAGTCTTGAGTTACTCTAGATCCCAGACAGGAGACTAGGCTGCAAAGATAAACTGAAGCCAGATTGTTTAGGGCACTTAATGTCATTCTGATGAATCTGAATTGTGGAGTAGGAACAGAATGTAGGCCATCAGAAGATACAGCAGCAGTCAGTACCAATTTGATGGCGAGTACATGTGGAGCCCATTCTTCCGATCTTGCATCACCTCACTTTGGATAATGGGCTTAAGCTCAATCCAGGATAATATAAGTGGTGCTAGCTCACTGTCGTTTCTTAGAATTGAGTAATATTCCATTGTAAACATATACTGAAGTTTAATAATCTACTCATGAATTGACAGGCACTTGGGTTGTTTCAACATCCTTGTAATAGTGAATTGTGCTGCCCAAAACATAACACTATGGTGCTCAAATGGTGGGAGTGCTCATCAGGGATTCGGGAGTTGTGGGGGGTAGACCCACATCTGAGGGATGTGGTGAGCATTGTGGAGGGGAAGGGCAGACCTCTAACCGTAGCCAGGGAGAGGCAAAGATATAAAATGCAACCAAAATGTTTGTACTCTATTTTCTTAAAGTAAAAAAAAAAAAGAAAATACAGCAGCACAAGGTTGCTTTTGAAATATACAAGCACTACAATTCCATAAAAATGCTTTAAGGCATCACTATACCATATATTGACCATGTATAGAGATTTATACTTGATGAGGCTAAAGTCAATAACAGAGAACATTTTAAAGTAGCTTCTTTCCTCAGGAACCAAAATTTTCCAAATCTCTGTCCTAGCAGTCCTTAATGTGTGGTCCCAGGACCTCTGAAGGCCCTGAGACTGTTAAGATCTCCTTATTATTTTCAACTACATATCTGTGCGAGGAAGATTTTTACTCTAACCAAAACACCATGGTGTAACAGATTCATCACAGAAGAAGATATAAGAATCCAGCTGTCTTTGATTAAGCCAGACATTACAGGGATTTGCAAAAATATGAAATAATGCCACTGTACTCACTAATTTTGTTTTGGAAAATGTAGTCATTTCCTCTCCAAAAATCTTATTTATGTAAGTGTGTAATGAGCTGATATTATTATTTTAAGATGAATTAATAAATATTTTTCAAAAGTCTCAGTGTTAACTTCTAATGCAATAAATATCTATAGATATAAACCATATAACAAGAGCAGTTTGGGGTCCTACTTACTGTTTAAGAGCATTAGGGATCCCACGACTGATACGTTTGAGAACCACTGCTCTACCCTTTTCCCTTGTCTGTGGTAAAGGTGTTAATGTGCTTTTCTAAATCCACCGTCAAACATCCTGGGACTCTCTCACCCGAGGATTAAGTGACAACATTGCTTTCTGGACTGGAAGTAAGTCCAGTGGTGGAATAGGTTCAGGGGTGCAGCATCCTTCCTCTTCCTCTTTGAGAGTCACAGAGCATGTGACAAATAAAAGCCTCTAAGAAGACCAGAGTCAAAAAGTCTGTTTGGCTGTGTTTGCATTTATTATTTCTCAAGCGTGTTTGAATGGTTTCGTGCAGTGTCTCGTAGCATCCTGGGGAACTAGTGCTCTACCAGGCAAATGTTGGGAAGCCCAAGACTAGGATTATAGTCCTGACACAACCCTGCAAAGTCAGATGAGAGTCTTTCTGGGGACAGTGGAGCCTCCTGGGCCTCTGAAACCTCATCTCAAGGTTGCCTTGTTGCCAGCTCTGTCATTGAGACCCGACCTGCGAATGTGAGTCGTGTGAGATTTCATGGCGAGGCAGGAATCCGAGGGCCAGCAGGTACCAGAGATGGAACTGCGGACTGTGTTTCCCCAGTGAGGGTGATTGCGATAATTCTGTAAATGAGTTCAGTGTTGGTGGTCAGGGCGTCCCTCCCAGGTAGGAGAAGCAGACATAGCACGATGCATGTGGCCTCTGAACTGTGACTTCCAGACCCGTGATGAAAACAGCAGATGTTGCAAGCTACTTCCTTTACATTAAGTTCTATGTTCTCCTCCTACTGAAGTGACCCTTAGACATTTTTTTTTCTGGAGATGTTTTAAGGGAAATATATGATTCCCTTGGAAAAATATCAGCGAGCAAGGAAAATGCCAATGGGCAGATGTATCTCCCCGGCTCCTCTATTCCAAGACTGGCTGTGTTTGAAGACAGGGATAGGTTCCCTGCTAAATATTGCCAGCGGTTGGAACAGAGGTAAATTTAGCTAAACTGAAAATAAGTGACTTAACGAGACTAAAGATGTCTAGTGTGGAAATAAACAGGAGGAGTCTGAAGTTTTTCTACAGAAACTAAAATAGACAATAACAAGGAAGTGGTCACGTGTCTTCCTTCTCCTCTCCCAGCGTTGCTATATAAGGGCCTCCCCCTGCAGAAAGAGGCACCAGTCCTCCCTCACCTCCACTGAGTCCTCCCTCCTCACTTGTCCTGAGTCCTCTCTACTGAAACCATGGGTTGCTGTGGTTGTGGTGGCTGCGGTGGTGGCTGCGGTGGCGGCTGCGGTGGCTGCGGTGGCTGCGGCGGCTGCAGGTGCTACCGGGTGGGCTGCTGCTCCGCCTGCTGCCCCTGCTGCCGCGGCTGCTGCGGGGGCTGCTGCAGCACGCCCGTGATCTGCTGCTGCCGCCGCTCCTGCAGCTCGTGCGGCTGCGGCGGCGGCTGCGGGAAGGGCTGTTGCCAGCAGAAGTGCTGCTGCCAGCAGAGCTGCGGCTGCAAGAAGCAGTGCTGCTGCTAGGCCGGCCGGCCCAGCCTCTGCCCCTGCCCCCGGGGGCTGCGGGAGGCCGCACTCCCTCCACAGGTAAGACTGTGCCTGGCCACTCTCTCTGCTCCTCTCCCCAGCCAGTCTGTCACCAGCCTACCTCCCTGTGCTTCACGTGCCCCATGCTTTGTCCTTCTGAGATACTTCTTTGCCCATAGTCTGCACAAATTTGCCCGAACCACACAGCATGAAATGAATATGCAACCAAAGAACTGATGATAAGATAACTGGATAAAATCAGAGCCAACCAGGAACCCTACCTGTTTATTAATTTTTAATGTTCAGACTTCCATAAATATTCAGTCCCGGATCTGACCATTTGGTGTTTAGTGCCTGTGTGCAGTCTTCTCCATTGCTTTTGTCTGTATTTGCCTTTTAAAATTTTCTAATAAAATGCCTTGACACATGCCAAAAATCTCCTCATTAGTCATATTTTTTGTTAGTTCCTTTGTTAGCTGTTCGGTCCCCTGCACTGTGGGTCCGATTCTGGCTCTCACACTCCCGCACCGTCCTGAAGCCACCGTGGGCCCAGACCCGGGCCCCACCGCTGTTTGTCAGAGAGGCGCCCAGCCCCCTGCGCCGCTGTCTTGAGAGGACATTCTACCAGAAGGATCTGTGTGCTCAGACTCCCCTGAAGATTTTCTAGGGCGGACAAAGGTGGTGGGGGTTGCTGTTGGTGGTGGGTTGGTAGGGGGTCTCTTTTCTTCTTGAAACTTATCTAGGAAATGAAACTGGGCCCCAAGGGACGGAAGAACCCACGTAGCCTCTGCCCTGTGGTTCCCCGAGATCTCACCAGGGCACGGAGCAAGAGTGCCGTGGGGATTCTGTGTGACCCTTGTCCTTGCTGGTGTCTTCAGTCTGGGCCACCCACAGCTGTGCATCTCCTATGCATCTTCTGCTGGTTCCATGCAGTAAACTCAGCTGCGCAGGCCCTCAAGGAGCGGGGACCTGCAGTTTCCAGGCTGACTTGGGGACTCAGTCGGCAGGAGTGGAAGCCTCACTTCCGTGTCAGGCGCAAGCCCTGGTTTCCAGCCCAGCTCCACCCGCAGCTCAGCAGAGGGGCCTCTTTCCCATGTGGACCCTGCTCCTGTGTCGGTTCGGAAAAGACGGGGTGAGTGGTGAATTCCCTTGGACTCCCCCCCCACAATACATGCAGCTATTTCTATTCCTCATGACAACCCCGGGATATGGGCTGTATTAGACCCATTTCACAGATGAAGAGACTGAGGCCCAGGGCAGTTAAGAAACGCAGCTAGTAAGTCCTGATTTAATCCCAGGTTTCTCTGACATCGAAGCCCATGATCCCTTTTCTACGCCATGTTGATTCTTAGAGTTTAGAACCGTTTCCTTTTTTCATTTCTTCTTTTCATTTCCTTTTTCATCTTCCCAAGTTTCGTGCCCAGACACGCTGCCATGTGGCTGTTCTCACCCTGCCAGGGGGTCCTTGGATCCCGCTTCCTGGGTGGGAGCCACACTCTGGCTAGTTCCTTCTCAGCCCTCCTCAGAGATGTTTCTGGGCTGCACAGGTGCGCGCTCTCTGCTTTCCGGGTGACAGCTGCCTTGCCGCCTTGTCACTGGTGAGATGCGATTGTCCACCGACACCTAATGTTGGGAGGAAGACGTGTCTCCCAACAGACACCTCCAGACCTGGTTCTGGAAGTTGCTGTGTTGATTCTAGGCTTACAGTAGATTGTGCGGGAGACATTCCTGGGCTGGCAGGACTTTAGCCTTTTTGCAAGTCTTGTTATAATATTTGTGTCTCTCGAATATCCCCAAGGCCGTTTAGCGTGGTATGGTTTTGACTTACACCCATTTTCCCCAATACACCTGCCCTGCCTCTGTCTACCCCAGGGAAGGTGTCTCTCTCTGAGCTCCCCTGATGTTGCTTTGTTTCTTTAGTACCAGATAATATATTCTGTATTTTATTATTGCTACTATGAACGGAAGATTATAGATAGATACTCTCCTTTTCATAAACTGGTACATATATGCATATACATACATATATATGTGTGTGTGTATGTGTGTATATATATATGTATTTTTTTTTCTCTTCTGTTCCAATGATGTGAAATAGGTGTCTCTTCGTCTCTTCAGGCTCCAGGGTGAATCCTGACACGCCGTGCATGTGCTGTGCCGGATGCCAGGCATGGGAGAAGATGAGCCGTGGTCCCTAACCCTGCGGTGCTTACTGTGCAATGGGAAGACAAGCAAGAAGTGGTAAGTGCCATGCAATGCCGTAAGCGCCATGATGGAGAACATGCAGGGTGGCGTGGGAATGCAGGCAGGGCGGCTGAGCCAGGCTGGGGGGGTGAGAGGTGGTAGACTGCTGCCAGCGTACTTCACGGAGAAGGCAACAGTGGAACCAAGTCATGAAGGATGACGGCAACTGCTGGGGTGAGGGTGTGCTAGGGAGGGCGATGTCAGCGAGGGGCAGCTCTGTGTGCAAAGACCAGAGGTGACAGGTGGCAGGAGCAGGTGGGGCACAGCTGGAGAGTCGAGCGTGCAGGTGTACGTACGGTGGTGGGAGGTGAGCAAAGCCCAGCTCGGAAAGCCCTTGCTCAAGTGTTTGGACGTAATTCTCCATGCTATGAAAGATTCTTTGAAGGCTTCTAGTGGGGTAGTGGCATGCTTTGTAGAAAATACTGATCTGGCAGTACAGGGAGAATGGATTGGAGGAAAGTGAGTTCTGAAGAAGGGCCTGAACCACAGAGCAATGGAGAAATTTGAGAAATGTTTAAAGGTAGAGTGGGAATTAATTACTAAGTAAGTGGACTCAAGATGTATTCAAATAAGGTGGACAGGTGGTGTGTGATCTAACCCTGACAGATGAAGGAACAGGGAGAACAGATCATCTGGTCACCCACTGAGATGACAACGATGCTAGGAGCAGCTGGCATAGCCACCAAGCATCATTTCACTTAGTCCTCACAGCCATCGTAAGAGGCAGCCTCCAATGTCATGCCCACTGTTTCCTATAGGAATCGAGGTTGGGAGGGGACATTTCTCAGCCATCGTGTGATGGAGCCAGGATTCAAATCCAGTCTGCTTCACACCAATGCTCACTTTCCTAATTCCAGACTGTGTGGTTTGTGGGGAGCAGTTTGGTTGGAAATGATGCTGTACTCATCATTGTAGCCTTTGGAACCTGGCATAGTATTCATGGTGGAGGCTCCCAGAAATGCTTCTTGGAGTGAAGATAATTGAAAATCTACTCTATGGAAAATGGGACCTTAAATTCTTTGGGTTCCTGATTATCCGTGTGTCTCCCCTCCTGCCACAGTCTAATAGGCAGGAGGTAGAGCCAGTTTATATGTAGAGAACTATGGCACCATTTAAATACCCGGTCAGCACCAAACGGTATCAAATTCTTGTAATGTAAGAAGCAGGACTGGGGTTGTGAAGAGGCTGAGTCAGGCAAATGCAGGGTCTGATCCTGTTTTTAGAAAAAATTTTGATATTTTGTCCATCATGGAATTTTTGCACTCGTTTTGCTTCTTAAAAATATTATTTATCTTGATTATTTAACTTGAGTTTTTGGTGCCACCTTGAATTTTTCACCCTAGGAAAGTGCCTCATTTACTTCCCACAGCCATAAGCAAAAGTATTGTATAGACCCAAATATTCCCCTGCCCATCCCGCTACTGTTTTATCTATGCAAACTCAAATAAATGTTCTTCCTGGAGTAATGGGCATTTGTTGGAAAGAGTGACTACAGATGCTCCTAGCTTTAGGGTGGGGTTACAGCCTGAAAAACCCACTGCAAGGTGAAAATACCATAAGTTGAAAATGCATTTAAGACATCTAGCCTACCAAGCATCATAGCTTACCCTAGCCTACCTCAAATGTGCTCAGAACCTTCTAAGGCAAAGCCCATTTTCCAATAAAATGTTGACTATCTCACGTAATTTACTGAATACTACACTGAAATTGATAAACAGAAGGGTCTTGTGGGCACTTGAAGTATGGTTTCGAACACATAATTGCTTTCATGCCATAGTAAAATTAAAGAATCATAAATAGAACTGTGGTAAGTCAGGGACCATCTGTACTTCAAATGGTTACTCTCTAGACCATGACTAGGAACAGTAATCATAATGACTTGTGAATAAATAGGAAAGTCATCCTAACACTGGTAACAGACTCACTTAGGAGGGGAGTCAGCTGCGAAAGCTCAGAGAACATTGCATTGCGGCTCGCCATGGTATACCAGGCCTAAAGCAATTTGCTTGCACTCCAGACTCCCTTTTTGAGTAAACATTCTGGACAAGGGTTTGGCAAATTTTTTCTGTAAAGGATCAGATGTAAATATTTCAGGCTTTGTAGGTTGTGTGATCCGTTGCAACTTCTCAACTCAGTCATTCTAATTTGAAATGGCCATAGATGACACTTAACTATATGAGTTTCTGTGTTCATTCCAGTAAAATATTATTTACGAAACCAGGTGGCAGGCCAAAAGTGGGCGTTAGTTTATCGACTCTGATCTAGACATTGAACTTCAAAGAAAAGAAGTGCAGTGTTGCACAGGGGTGAAGAAGGCTGGCTCCAAGGTCAGCCTGTCTGGGCTTGTTTCCCAACTCTCCAATTTCTTTCTGATCTTGGACAATGAATGTTCTAGAATCTTACTCTTCATCCGTGAAATGGGAGCACTAAAAGCGTATGCTTTGCAAGGTTGTTTCAAGAATTAAATTACATGATACATGTAAAATACTTAGACTTGTGCCTGGAATATTATAAGAGCCCCAAAAATATTGATACAGAGAACCAGAAAGGTTTGAGCACGATGAAGGAAGTACTTGTACAGATTTGACTTTCTTAGTGATCAAGGGGACGCATTCTTTGTGCTCCCATGTACTGACAGACCCTAATCTTGGCAGGACCATGGAGAGGGGATACCCGAACTCTTTCAGGGAGTAGATTCTCTTCTCATTCCTCAGGGTTTAGCTCAGATCCCATCTCCCTCCCAAGATAGGGCTTTGAGACTGCTCTCTTCTGTGACTTTGGAGATTTATATCCACTGTATTCCTCAGCGTAACGTATTATGCTGAACAAGAATTTCAATAAGATTGCACTCGAGAATTTTTAATGAGGATGAAATTCCCTAGCAATATCCATTGAACTGGCCTCTCTCTATGTTTTCTTCTTTAATTTAATCCTATGAGCTGCTGAGGACTAATTTAGTCCTGAAATGCCATTTTTACCATGCTATATAATTCTCTCGTAAAAGAAACATCAAGGTCTCCACAGCCTAAAGTTCATAACTAGTCTCAACTTTTATTTCCAGCTTGAATATCTACTGGTTCCTTTGAATCAACTTTCCACTCGAGGCAAATTGCTTTTCTTTCTGTGTCCTGAATAAGTCTTCTACTTTCTCTTCTAACATGTAGCCTGCCTTGGAATACTAATAATAGCTAAGTGCTTTCTATGTCTCAAGCTCTAGTCTAAGTGGTCTAAATGTGTTATCACATTTACATTTCACAAGAACCCTATGATATAGGTATTATTTCCATCAGGGAATTAGGTGTAGAAAGATCAGGACACATCTTTCTGGAGGTGGAGGATCAACTTATGCAGGACAGTCCCTGACTGTGCCTTGTACTTTCCCCTCCTCCTTCTTCTCCACCCATTCAAGTCCAATTTTCCATTCAAGACCCAGCCCAAGCTCTGCCTTCTTCACAGATCCTTCCTTTCTTCACCATGTAATTAGAAGTAATTTGTCCCTTCTCTTGCAAGTCCTAATATTCACCCGGAACTTCACCAGCCACTATTTAGAAACAACTCTTCTTTTATTGGACAGTTAGTTAAATCTTTTTTCTTCCCTACTTTTCCCAATTATTTCTTCTCATCTCTCTTATTAGTTTGAATTAATTTATATGAGTATATTTTTGTAGCACCCACATTGCCTTGCATATTACAAGGGTTCAGCAAATGCTTGTTGATTAAATTTGATTTTGTTCAAATGTTTATCTTTCGCAATAGAACTACAAGCAGGAAGTTGATAGATACACCAGATAGCATCCTCTATTTATGGTAGCAACACCTGGTTATTTTTAACTGGCATGCTATGCATTTGGGCCATGCTTTATGTAGAAACTTATGCTACTGACTAATAGGTTGCACATTTGAATCTCATACGATTTCTAATGACCTGGGTTTTATAGGTTGGCTATAAAATGACCTGGGTTTTATAGGTTGGCTATTTATTGGGGGTTTGGGTTGTTGTTTATCCCCATGGAGCCAAGCTGAGCTGATTGCTCCTGTGTAGGTGAATCTGAGTTCAGATACGCTTTGAGCGAGTTCTGGTCATTTCCCAATTTTACTTTATTTTTTAAATTTTGGTTTAAAAGTTCAAGAAAAGCAAAGAACTCATCAGATGGCATGTGTGTGGGAGTCTTTGGGTAATTATAGGGATTCTTGCCCTCTTTCAATGGAAGGCATTAGTATCAGTGTTAAATAGGATAGTCTAGGACCTACCAGTGATGTTGGGGACTCTGAGTCCTGAATTCTTCAGCCTCTATCTACCTTTGCTCAACTTATCTAAGCCTTTTCATCACCTCTTTGGTTGTGTGAAGCATCCCTAACAGACGACCTTTTGCCATATTCACTGGTGTCTATTCTTTCCTTTGGGGCAGTGCAACGATGCACAGAATGCTCTTTCCTGTCCTGTAAGAAGGAGAGAGAAGACTTTTCTTTAAATGAAAGCGCTCTCCTACCCATCGCTTACAAAACATAGGAAAAGAAATACACAGTTAACAATGTCCAGGGCGAAAACAAATAATTCAATTTTCTTTGGCAACACCAAGAAACTTTTACTTGTTAATCCATGCCATGTATGTCTAATCAAGAGCAGAGCTTCCACGCTGCTGTGGTACTTGTTGACTAGCTTATTAAATTAGAAAAAAAGAATTGGAAAACCAAAAGGGGAACCAACAAGTTTTAACAAGTCCGGCCCCAAAGAAGGCAACTAAAACCAAGGAAGGAACGGCCCAAGTTAAAATTAAAGTCCCCCGGGAAAGAGGCCTTCCAAGGGGCCCCGGGGATGAAGACTGGGATATCCTAACAAAACAAAAACCAAAACAAACAAAACAAAACCAGAAACAAGTAGAGTTGTTTTAAGGGAGAGGAGTCAAACAATAAAGTTTGGCTCTATAACAATCCTCCAGTTATTAGAGATATTTTGAATAGTACACATCTTATTATGAATACATATATATTATTATATTATGAGTGGTATATATAAAATAAATATCACAGGTCCATGTTGTGGACCTGTAACAATTGCATCCCATTACAGACTTGTGCCTGAGGCATATGGAGAAAAGACAATGAGAAAAATTCCTTGTGAGACACAGAGAATCCAGGGCAGCATTTTGGGACCAGGTAACAGAGTGTGGTACAAGGCCAGAAAAAGACATTCTCTCCATTGCACCAGAGGGACATCAGGGCAGGGTGACACTGGCAAAGATGCAGCCAGGAATGTTAGCACTGGCAGCGACTACAACACACTGTGGCGGCTGGTGACAGGGCTGGGGTCCACCATGGCATCCCTTTGGACCTACACAGGACCTTCAACCCGTGCCTGCAGGGGGTGGCGTCTGCCACGTGTCATCACAGCCTTTCTGGAACACGAGGCCTCAGCACCGCATCACTGCTGGCCCTGGGAGACTGGCCAGGACAGGAAGACGAGGCAGACGAAAGGGCCACTGCACAGGGCAGCGGAGAGGGCTGTGTTTGTGGACACGCTGACACCTCTTGGGGACTCCCAGAATAATGGTTGTCAGGGCAGGGGGATTTAGAAGAAGCCGAGAGGAACCACATAGTACAAAATGATGGATAAATTTAATTAATAACGTAATTGATCAACACATTCAACAAGTATTTATTAAATGCTGACTGAATGACTAAGGCCTTGGGCAGCCCCATCCCCATGGTTTTTGCTGGGCCATGCAATGAAGTCGGATGCCTTTTAGCTTTCCCAGGTTGGTGCTGCACACTAGTGATTCTACAGTTCCGGGAGTCTTGGGGACAGCCCCAGCCCTCCCATTCTGCTAGGCTGCCCTAGTGGGGACTCTGGGGCATCCTTTGAAATCTAGGCAGCAGCAGCTCAGCTCTACCTTCACAGCTTTTGCACCCTGCAGGCCTGCACAGTTAGCACCGTGTGGATGCTACCGGTGTTCATGAACGGTGCCCCCAGAGTGGTGATCTGAGTGACATCTGGGGCTGCTTGTGCCATAGCCGGGATGACTGAAGAATGTTGCATGGGGACGCAGCGAGCAGAGACCTGAGGTGGCCCTGGGCAGTGAGCCACCAGCTCTCATGGGCACCCTGCGTCCACCCACTGAAACTGTTCTGTCCCCAAGGCCCTGGCACTCTGGGTCTGTGATGGGGGCAGGGGCATCTGAAATGCCTTTGGGGTCATTCTGCCACCATCCTGCTGAACAGCACCTGGCTCCCTGCCGTCCATGCTGATCTTATCAAATGGTTGCTTGGATGCACTCTTTTTTTTCTTTCTCTCCTAAACATGCTTTTTCAATTCTTTACATGGCCAGTGTGACAATTCCCCAAATCTTTATGCTCTGCTTCCCTTTTCATTATAAATTCCATCTTTAAACCATTCCTCTTTTCTCGTATTTTACCATAAGCAATTTGAGAAAAGCCACACATCACCGTGAACATGTTGCTGTTTACAGATTTCCTCTGCCCAGTGTTCTAGTTCATTGCTCTTAAGCTCTGCCTTTCATAAAGCCCTAGGACATGAACCTGATTCAGCCACGTTCTCTGCCACATTATAACAAGGATGGCCTTTCCTCCAGTTTCTAAGAGGATAATCCTCATTTCTATCTAAGACCTCAGCAGAATGGCTTTAATGTCCATATTTCTGCCAACATGCTGTTTAGGACAATATAGGCTTTTTCCAGAATTCACTTCCAAGCTGTTTCAGCCTCTACCCATCACCCGGTTTCAAAGCCACTTCCACATATTCGGTATTTGTTACAGCAATGCCCCACTCCTCTAGTATCAGCTTCTGTCTTAGTCCCTTTGTGCTGCTATAACAGAATACATGAGACTGGGTTATCTATAAAAAACAGAAATTTCTTCTCTGTCTGGAGGCTGAGAAGTCCAAGGTTGAGGCACTGGCATCTGGTGAGACTGTGTCCTCACATTGCAGAAGGTGAAGGGGCAAGAGAGGGGTGAACCCTGTATCCTCATGTGGGGTAAACCCACTCCTAGGAGCCCTTTTTGTTTTGGCATTAATCCATTCATGAGGGCAGAAGCCTCCTGACACCATCACCTCTCCTAGGCCCCACCTTGCACACTGCTGCAGTGGGGGGTGAGTTTCCACCACACGAAAACTGGGGCCACGTTCAGAACACAGCCATGCCCGCCCATGTTGGTGAAGGTGATCTTTTCTATTGAGCCCACTGATTCAAATGTTAATGTCTTCTAGAAACATCCTCACAGACACATCCAGAAATAGTGTTTTATCAGCTATCTGGGCATCCCCTAGCCCAGTCAAGTTGACACTTAAAATTTCCCTTCACACAGGGGAATTACAAGTTCCTCCAACTCAGGGTCCTGCATGGCACTGAGAGGACTCCTGGGATGTCCTTGTCTTGTGCTGCCTGGAGTTGTCTCAGGTGACTGACGAGAACACTGTGTTCTGACAACATGCAAACAGGACCAGAGCCTGTAGATTCTGGCTTCTTGATTGCCTTCACGATTTACCTTTGACAGAGGAGCGTGTCCTGTGTCCAGAAGGCCGGTTGGAACTAACCACTTTTCAGGTAAGCATTCCATGGGGGTCTACGGTCACCCAGACACCAGGCAACTGTCAGAAACATGCCTTCAGGTTTGTCCTTATTTTGGGCTGATGACAGCAAAGGCCACTTTGGGTTTGGCAGGTGACTTGGGAATTGTCAGCTTACAGGATGTGCTTCTCCCATCTGACACGACACTCAGGATGCTCTGTAGTAACCACTGAAAACAAAGCATTCCCTGTTCTCTGAATCAGGGAGTTCACTAACTCATGTTATGGGACAAAGAAATACCCAAGGACCTCTGCCTAGGGAGGGTGTAACAATAGAACCCGGGATCACTCTTTCCCTTCCATTTTTCAAAATGTTCTCCTCCATATAAAGGGATATTATTACAAGTTAATAAATAGTTGTAAATGATGTAGGAATGAAACGTTTTTGTTCTGGGCTAAAACAACTGAAAAATGTAATAGTAGCTGAGGGAAATTGTAATCCCACTCTGATTTGTACAATTACCAAAAAAAAAAAAAAGAAAGAAAGAAAGAAAAAAAAGAAAAGAAAAGGAAGTTGTTAGTTGTTTTCTGTTCTAAATTAAAGATGGTTTTAAAAAGACACGTAAAAGCTAAATTTAGCAAGTTGTTCAAGTCTGAAGGACCCATTAAGGAAGTGCACAAAAGACCATGTGAGATTCTGCTATGGATATTTGCACAAACAACAACAACAGGAAGTAGCATCAAGTCTTAGGTCAATATTTTTCCCCAGCGTGGTATATAAGGGCCTCCCCCAGCAGAAGGAGGCACCAGACCTCCCTCACCTCCACTGAGTCCTCCCTCCTCACTTGTCCTGAGTCCTCTCTACTGACACCATGGGTTGCTGTGGCTGTGGTGGCTGCGGTGGCGGCTGCGGTGGTGGCTGCGGTGGTGGCTGTGGTGGCTGCGGTGGCCGCTGCGGTGGTGGCTGTGGTGGCTGCGGTGGCGGCTGCGGTGGCTGCGGCGGCTGCAGGTGCTACCGGGTGGGCTGCTGCTCCGCCTGCTGCCCCTGCTGCCGCGGCTGCTGCGGGGGGTGCTGCAGCACGCCCGTGATCTGCTGCTGCCGCCGCTCCTGCAGCTCGTGCGGCTGCGGCGGCGGCTGCGGGAAGGGCTGTTGCCAGCAGAAGTGCTGCTGCCAGCAGAGCTGCGGCTGCAAGAAGCAGTGCTGCTGCTAGGCCGGCTGGCTCTGCCCCTGGGCATTTGATGCTGGGGACATCCCTCCACCTTGTTGACCTGCCTTACCTGTCCCCTGTGTATCCTGGTAGTTATCCTCCTGGGCTGGGACTTTGCCCCTGGCTTTTAAGCTTTTGTCTGTTCTTCTTTGGGTGTCCCTAGTCTTTCTTTCTGAAAAGTTTCCTACCTACTAGCAAACAGCCAAAAAGAACAGTCCACGTCACTGAGGTGAGTCAAAGAGGATTGCGATTCCCAAGATGCTTTTTGATGTTTACGAGCATTTCCTTCCCATTTATGTGGTTTTCTCTGCTCCTCTTCTATCTCCTATTCCTGTTTTTCAACAGCTATTTTCTAAATTTTCTAATAAAATAAAACTTTATCATTCAAAGTTTCTCTTTGCCTTTATTTTGGTTGCCCATATCCCACATCCTAGAAAATCCTAATCTTCCTTCAGAGGCCTCTGGAGGACGGTCGGGGCTGGCAGAGTAAGTCGAGGACGCGGACACCAGTCTTCCTGCCCCGCTGACCCGACTCTCATTCCCAAACACAGTGCTTCACAGACTGACTTCTGTCTACGACTTGAATTCGCTTTTGAGGTGGGAGTTTCACTTAGAGATAGACAGGTCTCCCAAATGCATTCGAAACCCTGTTTTATTCAAAAAGAACCAATTTCAAACAAAATTTCAGAAAGACATTTATTACCAAAACACAGGTAACTACATTTGCTTTAGATTTCCCTCTCCTGGGGCCATTTCCTCCTTGCCTGGAGGGGAGAGTTCCATCTCTTCTGAGCAGGTTTTTATCTTTTTACTCCCCTATAAATTCACTCAGCAGTGCACATTTGGAGCTTTGATATTATTAGTTTAGCTTTTGCATTTCCCTAACTACACAGTGAATGTGTTGGGTTGTGCTGACCAAGCGGGTATTGATGGATGCCGGTTTATCCGGATTCTCTTTGCTATCTTCAGTCTTGGGCCCTGCTACTTGCCTTCAACTGAATTGCTGTTCGCTTTCCTGTCTAAATTAATTTAACTGTGATTGGAGTATTGTTAAGGTTTCCGATTTCTTTCTAATTCATTTCAGATCTTACTTATTAACTTAAACTGTGATTTATGCTTTTGTTAATTCTTTTCTAATTCTTTTGAATTTATAAGCCTCAGGGACCTGGAGAAATCACCTAATCTGTGTCCTTTTGCTGGACAGAGGAGTCTATTTTTGATGAGAACTCCTTCCTGCAGCATCTATGTTTCTTTTATGCCTAGAGAGAAAGCTAGATAATCATTAGCTAAAGGGAATAATCACCCTTCAGTTGATTATTGGTACCATAAATGGTATCTTATGATTCAGACCATGAGTAGTCATTAGAAGCATTAAGGATTTTTATAAGAGACCACTTTCTGTGGACCAATGCTCGTGGAGAAACCCCTAGATACAGAGGGAGGTCAGAGGGCTGAGGCCAGGTCAAAGATGGAGTAATTCTGCTACTGAGTGTCTTTGGGTGGGGGCTTGTGCACAAAGAGATGTGATCCTAGGCCAAGAGTGGTGTCTGCCACAATATTTCTGCCACAGTATTCCAATATTCCTGTGCTGGGAGGACCATTCTCCTGAAAACATCTGGAATGGCTGCGTAGCACTAGATCTTGGGGCTTCTTCTTTCCTGTGGACTTTTCCATATATTTTCTCCCCATCACGACTGGCCTATTTTGGAGCAGTGCCAGAGAGGGTTTGGGGCTGGAGGCTGGTGCGACTAGTGGCAGAGACTGTGGACCACAACGTGAAGTTCAGCCAGCAAGTCTGTGCAGTAAGTTTCCTCAGCCCTTTGCCCTGAGATGTTAGTTTCTCAGATGGACTAAGAGTCAAAAAGAAAAAGATGGGTCCAAATTTAAAGAAAATATAAATATTTCTGTAGTTCAATTGTGCCCAGCAAATCGTTTTCATTTTTCAATCTGATGTCATTGTCACTTGGTTTGCAAATCCCTATAGGCCCTGCCTATAAATTCCCCTGCTGTAAGGGACATTGGCCATATTTGTGCTAATTATTCAAGAAACCTGAACACAGACCCACATCTGCAATTGGATCACAGAGAGGTGTATACAGCCATTCCAGCTGAGGGGAGAGGCAGGCTAGGTGCCCCCCACAAGCAGCGAGCTGTTCCCAGGGCCTCTAGCTCTTGTCCCAGTCCCCAGATACTGACCCTGATTTCCTCATGGATTTTACTGAACTCCAGTGGTAGCTTCATGTGCTGGGAAGTAACGTGGAAAATGCTTGGGAGGCAGAAGAGAGAGCTGAGGGTGGAAGGGAAAGCCAGGACCGCACTGCATGCACGTGCCACATTGTGGGTACAACCGCAGCGTGTTCCTTCATCTAAACGTCAAGGACAATTTGTCGCACACATTCACCTAAGCTGCGGCATCTCTTTAGGCCCACAGCTCAGCCCCCACACAACACGTACGTGTGTGGCTGGCTACTCATCACACACGACCAAGAGAGTATCACCCTTAGCCAGGGCTGCCATAACAGAGTACCACAGACTGCATGGCTTCAACAAGAGGAATTTAGCTCCTCGCAATTCTGGAGGCTGGAAGTCCAAGGTCAAGATGCCAGCAGGTTTGGCTTCTTCTTAGAGCCTTTCTCCTGGGCTTGTAAACGGTTGTCTTCCCCCTGTTTTCAGGTGTCTTCCCTCTGTATGTGTCTGAATCTTAATTGCCTCTGCGTATAAGGACATTGGTCATAGTGGATTAGGGCCCACTTTAATGACCTCATTTTAACTTAATTCCCTCTTTAAAGACCCTATCTCACATACGGTGACATTCTGAGGTACTGGGAGTTAGGACTTCAGCTTAAAAATTTCAGCCCCTAACGAAAGAGTAACAAAACAGGGACCTTATATGCTTTGCTTTTCATTCATGTAATTTCACGGGTGAACTATGTGCAGTATAACATGCTCTTTCCTTTTTTATTCAGTAGCTGTATCACATAGTCTTCTCTATGCCAAATCATCACATTTTTAACTGAAAGAATGTTGTCTCGGTGTCCCCCAGTGGGGACCCTGCCTGGAAAATAAATATTTAGTAACTGTCACTGGTGCACTGTAGGTGAGCATGTGACAAGGTCAACCCTGCCACAAGCTCCCCTTCCTGCGCTCCCCTGACACTCAGGGGCAGTGATGAGTCCCCTGGCGGCGGCTGCTTGTGAACTCCACGCTGACTGCACGAGTGAGCCTGGGAGTCCTCACTCCCTGGCCTGGCTGAGTCCGCTCCCTTGGTGCCACCTCCCCTGGGAGCCCTCTTGGCACGCAGGGGCTCCATCTCTCTGGGACCTGTGAAGACAAAGACCTGTGGTGTCCTGAGCCCCTCCTCTTGTAGTCTTCTTGTAGACATACCTGACTGACCATCTCATTAAAAAAAAAATGCAAACCATGAAACCTTCCACCTGGGTTCTTTATTTCACAAACCCATGTCGACGCTGAGTAATGACACCCCAGTAAATCCTGACAGCCATTTTCTTCTGCTTATGCTGACTGAAAACAAACTCACATTCCAGTGAATGGGGCAGGGAGAGCGAGAGCCTTACACGTGTTGGGTCTCGGTTGCCAGGGGGGGCTGTGGGTCCCAGAATTCTGCCAATGGCATGGATCCGCATTGCCACCTAGGAAAGCGGACTCAAGGGCTCCTCAGTGAGGAAAAACTGACACCCCTGGCCATAGGGTAAGATGGACAGACTGGGGCCTCCCTCTTGACCTGTCGCTCTAAGCTGAAAACAGCCATGTGGGAAGGGGCAGCTCTAAAGGCAAAGCCTGGGAGGGCAAGTGTGAGTCAGAGGGTGAGGTACCAGGGGTAACTACTAAAGGCTGGAAGTAGGAGGTTTGTATAGCCTGAGGGCACTAGAGGTGCTGGGAGGTGGCAAAGCAAATAGAACCAGAGCCAGGTGGGTGCCAGAAACGACCTTGCTGCTTTAGACTTTGGGAGGGTCATCTCACTCCCATGCTCCTCAGATCCCATCTTCAGAATTGCAAGGCAGAAGGAAGACTATCTTTCCCCAGGCCCATCTCGGGAAGTCTGATCTGACGTGGTTGTTCAAGTCACATTTCCTTTGGTTGAAATCATTCCATCTGGCCAGTTCAACCTGTTTAAGCTTCTATCCTGTGCCAGGCTCTGCTTAGAGTGACAAGGAAGCACCCCAAGTAGGCCTGTGGGGTGGTGCAACAATGTCCTCGGCCTAGAGACACAGGCAAGGAGCTCAGCTTCCCCGGCCCGCCCCACTGCCCCACCCCAGCTGGCACCATCCAGCCCCCTCCCCCGCCTCCTTTCTCTCTCTTTGCTGCTAAACCAACCACAGGGAATCCAGAATCTGCAATCTACACAGAAAAGGATCAGAGAGCACTGATTAGCAGAAGGGGTGTTCTGGGACATATTTTGTTATGTGTGTGTACACCCTCGGGTGTGTGGGTGGTATGATTATTTTGATTTTAATGCTGATCTTCTCCCATTGTAGTCTGGACTGGCTGATGCAGGAACTTCCATGGTACCTGCCGTGGCTAGGGCTGAAGTTTCTTATCCGGATCTGGGAGAGAAGACGTGGAGGACAGAGCTGGTCAGGCAGGAGTGACGGCTGAGCAGACAGCACGGCGTGGATCCCAGGGACCCGAGGCCTCTGTCTGTGTTGCCTTTTGGAGTAGTTCTCAGCAATGAGACTAGGACGACCAAAAGCAATGGACAGTAGGAGAGGAATGCAGGAGGTTTGAGGACGAGCCTCAAAAGTGATCACGCTCGTAAGTGACTGTATGACCATTCGAGGTCTGTTGCTAAGACTATCGGGAGGGATTTGGGGAAAGATTTGGCCTAAGATGTTGAAGTTCCAGGGTTGAGGATGTACTTCCAAGTCCCTCCTTTCTCAATAAACCCACAACGCGTTCATCATCCATTAATCTATCTGTGTCTGTCACAAACAATTTAGCTAGTTTTTGATTCTTTGCCTATCTGTTGAGCTAAAACTCATTTTTCCTCATGGACAGTTTAGAAACTGGAAAGAGAGAAAGAGAAGGCTCTTTGAGACTGATTTGGTATAATTTATTAAGACAATAGTTGCTTTGTGTATACAGATATGCCAATGCAGTGGTAAAAACAGGACACAAACAAAGACAAAGCTAGAGGCATTTGAAGAAGGTGTAATATTAATCATCTCGACTCCATTTTGTTGAGGGCTGGACTGGAACGGTCTCTGACAGAAAAGGCCGCACATTTATTGCTTTGGTTGCTGATTATTAAATGCAGGTAGAATCACAAAAACTACAGAAATGTGGGATTCCTGAGGACTGGGGATAGGCTCAGGTCATACTTGTGACCTACAATGCTGAGAGGAGCAGAGAGAAAGGGAAAAGCTTACCTAGAGCAGTTACCTGCAGCTCCTGCCCAGAGCCGGGCCTGCCCGCCTAGCTGCAGCACTGCCTCTTGCAGCCGCAGCTCTGCTCCTGACAACAGCCCTTCCCGCAGCAGCCACCTCCACAGCCACCGTTGCAGCCACCACCACACCTGCCACTGCAGATTCCACCAAGAGACTCCTGGAATTGATAAATAAATCCAGCAAAGTCTCAGGGCACAAAATCAATGTAACAAAATCAGTAGCATTCCTATAATAGTCAAGCTGCTGCTCTTATGCTTAAGCCCTCAGCCTTGCAAACTGTAGGTATAGTCTCCTTTCATTGCTGATTTCTAACAACCTATATTGATACACCGATGACTTACTAGAGCCCATGTATGCCTCAAACTTTTCTATTCTCACTTTTCTTTGCCCTTCTTCTTGGAATATCTGCCCCCAAGCATTTCCACTTGTCAAAACATTACTAATTCTTCAAAACACATTCAAAATGTCCCTTCCTTCTTGAAGCTATTCCAGTTCCTTTGAGTCTCACCCACTCCCCATCCAACAATGTGGAGTTCCTCCTCACTATGACCATGCAACATCATGTAACTTTCAAATATTATTCATTATTCTACCTTGTGTTGGTGGTTATTTGTGTATGAACGGCTTGTAAATCACACAAGGGCATAATTATGTGTATGCTTGACGGCCTCAACCCATGGGAAATCATGATTAATGGTAGTTTGATGAAAAACTAAGGGAAACTGTTCAGAGTTTATTTTTGAATTTTATTAAGAAATTTTTAGATGAAGAGAGATTAATGGGTAAAAAAATACAATTAGATAGAAGAAATAAAACCTAGTATTCTATAAATCAGTAGAGTGAGAATAGTAAACAATGACCAATTATATTTTTCAAAACAGCTAGTAAACAATAATTTGAATGTTCCCAGCATAAAGGAAAAAATAAATGTTTAAGGTGATAGATATCCCAATTACCCTGATTTGATTATTATGCAGCATATGAATTTATCAAAATATCACATATACCTCCAAAATATATATCTCTTTTATGTATCAATTTTTTTAAAGTAAAAGAAAACTGAAAGTGGGAAGACAAAGATATCTGAAAGGGAAGTAAATAACAGATGAAGAGATTCTTCCATGTGCATACCGTCAAATAACAACAACAAGGAAGTGGTCATTAGTAAATGTAAAAAAAATTTTTTTAGGAAAGCATCTATGACCAGAGAAAGGACAGATCATACATGGTACAGACAAGAAGACTTAATCATAGATTTTAACAAATTCAAAGAAAAAAAGTACAGAAAAAATTATTATACCATTTTGCTGAGCTCAATAATCAAGATGTCCTGCCTCTTTGTACATGGATGACATTGCATGAGATATCCATGCCTTAAAAATGGAAACAATTACTTAAACTGCTGCAGAGCATGAGAACCAAGGAGGAATTTGCCGTAAAGTGCAGGAGACGGGGAGAAAGCAGGCGTAGACAGGATGGGATGCAGGAAAGACTGGGCAAGGGGCGCAAGTTGCCTCCCCCCAGCACGTGCAGACGGGAGGCTTACCACAGCGCAGGTGCCTGCGGCGCCTGCGCAGAGCCGGGCGCACCTAGCAGCAGCACTGCTTCTTGCAGCCGCAGCTCTGCTGGCAGCAGCACTTCTGCTGGCAACAGCCCTTCCGCAGCCGCCGCCGCAGCCGCACAGCTGCAGGACGGCGGCAGCAGCAGATCACGGGCGTGCTGCAGCAGCCCCCGCAGCAGCCGCGGCAGCAGGGGCAGCAGGCGGAGCAGCAGCCCACCCGGTAGCACCTGCAGCCGCCGCAGCGCCGCACCACAGCACCGCAGCCGCCACCGCAGCCACCGCAGCCACCACCGACAGCCCACCGCAGCACCGCAGCCAGCCACCGCCAGCCACCACCGCAGCCGCACCGCAGCCACACGGCAGCCACCACACCACAGCAACCCATGGTGTCAGTAGAGAGGATCAGGACAAGTGAGGAGAGAGGACTCAGTGGAGGTGAGGGAGGTCTGGTGCCTCCTTCTGCTGGGGGAGGCCCTTATATACCACGCTGGGAGAGGAGAAGGAAGCCACGTGACCACTTCCTTGTTATTTGACTGTATGCACATGGAAGAATCTCTTCATCTCTTATTTACTTCCCTTTCAGATATCTTCCTATTTTCAGTTCTGTTTATATTTTTCATAAACATGTATTCCAGTATAAGCGAAAAAGGCCCAGACGTTCTAGGGAGGCATTCTAGGCGCTAGGGCCATGATAAGGTTGTCAGTAGTAACAGGCAGGAGAAGGTTTCCATGAAGCCCAGGGAGCACGCACCGTGCGTGTGAGTTGCCGGCAGGGTTTGCAAACCACCATGTCGTCAGAGAGCCAGGCGACCTGTGCACTTCTGCGGGGTGGACACCGTGAAGTTGAAGGCACAGTCCCTGACTTCAGGGAGTATTGCAATCGTAACACTGCAAGCTGGGCTGTGAAAACGGTGATGGACTCAAAGGTCACTGCCAAGGTCAGGTGCCATCATTCCATTTACTGACCAGTGAAAACAGCTGGGCTGGGAGCTTCTGCTCCCCATTTGTTCATGTGAAGCATCCACTGTGCTTTGTCTTCTGCACGCCCAGGCCTTACGGATTATTTTAAAAGCAGAAATAAATCCTCTTAGGAGTCTGAATTTTGGTGATGTAATTCTTGGTACGTTTAGCTTTGGATGAGGAATTAATTTTTCTCCTTCATTAGGTGATACCAACTGATGTCTGAGAGCAACACCTCTGTGCTGAGTAGCCTGACCTGGGCCCTGGGGACAGCAGGCAATTGGGCTATTTTGGGAGAGCAGGGGAGATGTACACAAGGACACATGGTCCAGAGGCCAGAGAAGCTTGGGGAGAGCGAGGGAGGGCTCTGATGTGTGGAGAAAAAGAAGTTTATGGCTCTGAGGGGAAGTTATAGCTGTGGATCATGGTGAGTTTGGAACTGGTGACCAACAAGGAGGCTATAAAAATATAAGGCAAGAAAAGTGCAAATGTAAGCAGTCTTCTCCACGCACGACAATGCAGGGGCGTCTCTGGCAATCAGTGACCATTCAGGGGACAGTAGCCAACATTCTAGTGCACACAAGATCCTCCAAGCTTCATTTTGTAACAGGCTCACTGCCCGAAGACTGTTTTCCCAATTTGGCAAGGTAGTTCTTTAGAAATTTGAGTGAGAGGAAGCCCTATGAAGTCATAGGGCTGATTGGCATTGTTTATCAATGACCCAAGTCATCTCTGTGGTATTTGGACCAAAGAGAACATTTTCGGCTGCTCAGGTGGTTGCGTGAACAGGGGTGAGGGCTGCAGTGGAGCTGGAGATTTGTGAGTAGGTTTGAAGCCACTAAGGAGGCAGAAGCGACAGAATTTGGTGACAGACTAGATATGGAACTGAGAGAAAAGAAGGATTCAAAGATGACTTTTAAAAATAGATCAGCAACTTGGCAAAGAAGCAGCGGAAGAAAAATTTACCTTTATCTGGTGGAGGGTTGGCGATGGGGACAGGAAAATTATGACTTGGGTCTGGAGCATGTGACACCGGAAGTGTCCCTGAGACCCCTGGGGGGGGGGAGGTGGAGTTGGCCGTCGATGGATTTGGGGTCTGGAGGAGGGTCTGAGCTGGAGACGCCCATTCGAGGAAGTAACTGGGGGACACACAAGCGGAAATCGACGCCTGGGTGTGAGTGTGAGCAGCTGGCTGGGAGGAGCGTGAGGGGGAAGGGGGCATTGCACCAAGGCTTTTCATAGACACTTTTGAGGGGTAAAGAAAAAGAGAAGAGGGTCATTTGCTATAAAGATCCCTTTAGAAATATAGCTGGGAAAGTGCAAACTCATAAAAAGAAAACACGCCAATTTAATGAGGTGTGAACTATGCTAAAGTAGATGACGTGAGCATTTTTGAAAAAATGACGTGTTCCATTGGGATGTTCATATTTACTCTTCTTTATATCCCAAGAGTTTCTCTTAAAGCAGGGCGATTCTAACTGAAGACAAGGAGAGAAAACATTGAGGAGAAATGGAAAAGGAGCTGGCAGCAAACCCAAGTCTTAGTTTAATTCAAAATCTCAAATATTCAGCTGGCTTCTGAGAAGATGTAGATTCCTCTCTTAAATGTCAGCATTTCTTGGCTTTGCTCCTAAAATGACTTTAATAAAGAAAAGTTAAAATGAGCAAATGTATTGGGTCAAATATAATCTGCAAGGATGTAAACAAGGAACAGCGCTAGATAACCTTGTTGTGGAAACTGCAGCAGGAACAACAGGGAAGTGACCACTGGTCACGTGTCCTGGCTCATTCCCTGTCCCCTTTCTCAGGACGGTACATAAGGGCCTCCCCCAGCAGAAGGAGGCACCAGACCTCCCTCACCTCTCCTGAGTCCTCCCTCCTCACCTTGCCTGAGTCTTCTCTACTGATACCATGGGTTGCTGTGGTTGCGGTGGCTGCGGTGGCGGCTGCGGTGGCGGCTGCGGTGGTGGCTGCGGTGGCTGCGGTGGCTGCGGTGGCGGCTGCGGTGGCTGCAGGTGCTACCGGGTGGGCTGCTGCTCCGCCTGCTGCCCCTGCTGCCGCGGCTGCTGCGGGGGCTGCTGCAGCACGCCCGTGATCTGCTGCTGCCGCCGCTCCTGCAGCTCGTGCGGCTGCGGCGGCGGCTGCGGGAAGGGCTGTTGCCAGCAGAAGTGCTGCTGCCAGCAGAGCTGCGGCTGCAAGAAGCAGTGCTGCTGCTAGGCGCGCCCGGCTCTGCGCAGGCGCTGCAGGTAACCGTCCTGTGGGTAAGTCTGCCGTCCTTCCCCTTCCTGTCTGTTTCCCCCCCACTCTCTGGTCCTGAGCTCTGTTCCTGTTCGTCTTTGGTGTTTCGTGCCTTCCCATCTGAAAAGTTTCCAAACTAACAGGCACCATCTTATGGAACGAATATGAGTGCAGCCCAGAACCTGAGCAAGTATCCCCCGGTCACTCGCCTTGGCCAACCGAGAACACGGTTCCTAGTTTTGGTTTGACTGCCTTTAAGCTCCATGTTTCTTCCAGTGTTCCCCGTCGACATGCAATGTTTCTTTTCTTTTTTTCTTTTGTGTTCTTAGTTATCATATAACATTGTCTAAATTTCCTAATAAAATAATGTCCATAATAAAAAAAAAAGTTCTCTTTTTTTGCCTTTGTTCTGTTTGACCATGCTGAATCCTGGTTTGTCTGTTTGGAACCGTGGGAGAGATTCTACTTTTATGTTCAAGCCTTTGAAACTCTTGCCGTGGCAGCAAAAAGCAAAGGGTCATATCAGAAGCTGTGGGCCAGGCCTCTGGGGATCCCCCAGCCCATGACACATCACGTTGTCTCAGATGCCCCCACTGTGTCCTCCTTCCATGAGATTTACGGTCCCTGTTTTATTGATGCGACATGACATATCCCTGCAGCGACAGGCCCACCTGCCACACACAGGCCTTACGATTAGGACCCAAGAATAGAATCTGAGTGGAAGCAACAGCACAAGGCCAGCTGGGTTTTCACAGGTGTCTTTCGTTGATATGTTCAATCTTTTTCTTCCCCTCTTTCTTTTCTTTGGGGTGTGAAGTTTTCTTCCTTTCGCTGTTTTCGGTACACTGCAACGTTCAGTGGGAGACATTTGAAACGCCTTAAGATAAAACACATGCAATTGCCAAAACTCTCGCAGTGACTATGCCCTCCTTACCAGCTTTAGTAAGAGTAAGAAATGAGATCTAGGCCTGATCAAAGACAGCCCAGGGGGAGAGGAGCCTCCAGGCATCTTTGAAGGAGGAAGTCTCTTCTTTAGCTGCTTCAATTTAATGACAAACAACAGGGTAACCGCTTCTTGGCTTTTCCCTTTCTTTTCCTTTCCTTTTTTCTTTTTGATGATTTCTACAACTCCCACACTTTTTCAGACTTTTTTCAGATTCTACTGTTTTGTTAGCTGTAGAGACTCTAGGCTGAGGCGATTTTGGATCAGGATGGTTCAATATTTTCACACATTTCACCCAGTCTCTCTGTTTAAAACAGGGGAAGAAAAACTATATATAATGAAAATAAAATAGGTGAGCTCAATAATGAGATTTCTATGTCTGTGGCCCAGACACATAAGGAAAATGTGACATTCAAGGCTGAAGCCACAGCTGTTAGGTTGGTTACAGGTGGGAACTTGACAAGTATGTATGGGACAGAATGCAGTGGGTCTCACTACAATCTCTGTCACTGCAATGGCAAATGGTCCAAGATTCCCTATGTCCAAGCCTTTTTACCCTCTAATCTCATTCTGTATGAACTGTAATCTGGCTCAAATCTTCCTGCTACACTCTAGACCTTCCCCCTCTTGCTCTCTTTTGGCTCTGGACCTAACGGTGGCCTTGCTGGGTTCTGGGCCATGGGCGTGGACAGTGTGGGAATGGGACGACAGGAACTGACTATCCCATGCCAGCTGGGGGATGAGAGCCAGACTCACTTTTGCAATTAGATGTCACAGTGGGACCCCACTTGTCTTGAATAAAACCCAACTGACCTTTTTGCCCAGGGCTGTGACTTATAAAGAGCTGTCCCCTGGGAGAGACTGGAGGACACAGGCACAGGCTTTAGACCACAGGTTGACCTAAATCCCCTGCAGGCTTGAGAATAATCCATTATATCCCTCACTGGCACTCTGGGATGGGGTCTGGGAAACAACAACCATACAACCGTTAGACAGGTAGAAGCAAATGGTAGTAGGGATATGTGTGTGGCTGGGGTGAGCAAAGTGAGAGAAATGAAACCAAAAACACATCACACCTAAAATAATGGTACTGAGGGACTCCATCTGCCTAGTGCCACTTTCCTGAGCCTCAGGGGACTGGCTCACAATGCATCCCTGGCATCTGTTGTCCCTTGTGGCTATCTGTAAGGAATAAACCTGCTGAATATAGCTGGTTGCATGTGTGAGTGTTCCGCCTCGCTGGCCTCAGACAAACTGGCAACCAGGGCACGGTGAACTCGCTTCGCTAAACTGACCCGGTGAGCAAGGTCCAGCCCTACAGAGCCAGGGCTTATTGCTAACACGGGAGGGGCGATGCCTCGCAGCACCTGGCAGAGAAAGAGGGGTGACGAGGGGGACTCAAGCACCCAGCCCCCAACATCTGTGATTTACAAATAGGGCAGCAGCTCAAGATCCCCTGGTTGTCGGGCACTTATGTGATCATTCATTCCTGAGGCTGGAGAGCTCAGGAAGCAGGCCTCAGTGGGACCGTGGGGCACCTGGGAGGAAACGGGAAAGAGGTGCTCAGACAGCTCCCGAGGCACATGAGCGGAGCCCACAGAGAGGGAGGCTGGGTGTCTAAGGCGCAGATGTGGAGGAAGTGCAGAGAAGCCTCATGCGGCCTGGTTGGTGTGCTTGTCGGTAAAGGGACATTGCAGACCCCAATGTCGCGGGCTGAAGGGCACAGTTAGCATGGGGCCAAGGTCTCTGGGTCCCCACTGGAGGCTGATGGCCCTTATAATCCTGTCAAGATAGAGGGGAAAAGTTGGGGAATTGTGACTTTCATGAGGTTCTTGAATACAGGAGTCCAGATGACAATATTCCCAGGTTCTCTTGGGCAGCGGTCCCCAACCTTTTTGACACCAGGGACTGGTTTCCTGGAAGAGTTTTCCATGCACAAGGAGTGTGGGTGGGCCGCCACCTCAGCTCCACCTGAGATCATCAGGCGCTGGATTCTCACGGGGTGCGCAGCCTGGCTCCCGCGCATGTGCAGTTTGCAGTGGGGTTCGGGCTCCCAGGAGGGAAGGTCCGGTGCCTTAGCTGACACAACGAGGCGCGGGGCTCAGGCGGTGAAGATGGAGCAACGCGGAGTGGCTGAGGGTGCAGGTGGGGCTTCAGCTGCTCGCCCGCCACTTGCCTCCTGCTGTGTGGTCTGGGTCCACGGCCCAGGGTTTGGGGACCGCAGCTTTAGGGGAAAGACTAAACTGGTGATATTGGGAGATTTGAGGACAAACAAGGTGACCCACGGTGCTTATTTGCTTGTAGGTGGGGCCATTTGGGGAGCTAGAGACATGCTTCCCTCCACTAAGTGCATTACAGGCACTGATATTTTAGCTACCTGCGGCACAGAACATCACTGCCACCTGAGAGGATGTCGCTGCCCACAGTTAAGAATTTATTTGAGCCATAATAGCCGGGCATATCCACTCCTGCTGGCCACGCAAGCTCCCCAAGCCCAGTGGGTTATTCAACAAAAGCAGTACTACATATGAAGTGGAAAAAAGCTATTACTTGGTTAAACCTGTATCAGTAAGTGTTCAACTTGAGACACAGAACCAGTACAGGAGACATATATTAAGAAGTTAATTTCAAGGAATTGGCTCACACGATTACGGGGGCTTGCAAGGCAGTCCAAAATTCATAGGCTAGCCCACCAGAAGGGCTGGGCTGAGACTCTCAGGCAAGGGTGGAAGCTCCTGCTCACAGATGGAATCTCTCCTTTTCAAAAGAAGCCCCAGCTCTGCTCTGAAGGTCTTTCGCCTGATTGAATCAGGCCCACCCACATCATCTAGGGTTGTCTTCCTTATTTAAAATCAACTGATTAGGACTTTAATCACCTCTGTAAAATACTTCACAGCAACACCTACAGTAGTGCTTGATTGAATAAGTGAAGACTATAGCCTAGTCAAATTGACACTGAAAATTGACTATCACCGATTGCAACAAACTTACATAAATCTGATAACTGAAATCTTTATAATATTTAGTCTTTCCATGCAAGGTCATGGTGAAGTTTAATTAAATTTTTTCTTTAATTATTTTGCCCTGGATTGCAGGAATTATTTGCCCACATTCTAACTTTTTATGTTGGCATGTAATATGAATATAATAATCATGGTTATCACATATTGACGGCTTAGCATGTGTCAAATCTACACCATACATTTCTTTATCTATTCTTCAGATCAAAACAAATGACACTTTTATGAGGTAGGACATAGAAGGCTAAGATATGTTATTCACTTTAGGATCTCTCATGTTTCTGCAAGTGGTCACTTTTTATTTCTATGTTTTTCTGGGGTGGGCTTGAATGTGTTGAAACTGTTTTGGGTCCCAGTTGCTCACTGAGGCCATGTAGATGGTTTGTTTCAATCTGGTCAATTGAATCATTTGGTTGTATTCAGTTCACTGGCTGAGGTTTTGATGTGGTTTTGATGAGGTTCATGATAGTCTAGTCTTTCACCTTAATCTAGGATGAAACATGAAAATGCCATGCAGTTTAGCACCATATGTCATCCATCGTAGTAGCTTGCCTTCTGAGTCCATGGCAGGTGAGACCAGGCTACACCTGTGTTACTGTGCTCACATCAGGAATGGAGTCCCCGGATTCATGTGGGTTCTGATCAGTTGCAGGACTACATTTGTTCTTTCTGCATTTGGCTGAATAGATCGTGTAAAAGCTTCTCATTAGGAAAATTCCAGCAATGACTGAGAAGTAACTTCCGTAAACTAAAAACTAAATAACAAAAAAAAAAAAGAGAGAGAGAGAAAGAGGTTGTCATGAACCACACAAAAATGGATATTTGACACTGATGGTATACAGCGATGCCTTACTACTAGCTGAGAGATCTTGAGCAGGTCATGGATTCTGGGTCTCAGTTTTCTAATTTGTAAAATTAGAATAATAACAGTAGCTACTAAGGGTTAATTGAGTTATTACAGATAAACCATATAGAAGAGTATCTAGATGGTAAAAGTTCAATAAATTTTACCTGTTTCTGTAGTCCTGAAACTCTCCAAATATATATACTTACATAGTATATATTTATAGTATATATCTATATATACACTATACATAGTATAGTATATATATTTATAGTATATATAGTATATATTACATAGTATATATTTTTGTATGGTATATATGATATAGAGTATATATAGTTATATATATTTTTATATTATATATACTATTTAATAATATATTTATATATATACTAACTTCCTTCTTGCTTTTCTTTTTTCATTTTCACATTTAGTGTATCAGATTGAGAATTTATTTTTTCCCTAGAATATAATATGCTTGAAAAAAATTGCACAGTGTACCTATCCAGAAATATTAAAATTATATTAATGTGTCTGAACATCTAGAGTGCTTGTATGTTCTAAGGAATCTTTAATTATTTTGAATCTTTGATTATCTTAATGACTCTCTTTATGTCTCTAGATTGAGGTCTTAATTATATTTTATCTTTTAAAAAATTTAACTGTAAATTATAAGTAGATCAAATTGGACTAGAAACTCCAAAAAGCTGGATGTACTATGTCTGGCTAGTAGGGGAACATCTGCATCTTTCTGATTTAATTAAAAGTGAAATTTGTAAATCACATAAAATCTTAAGAAATATAGTAGAAAAACAAAGGATTCATGAAAAGCATAACCACAAAACCACCATGGCACATAAAAAATGAATAATTCCTTAATATCACCTAGACAGCGTCCCAATTTTCCTGATTGTCTCATAATATTTTTAATTTCTTCGTAAGTATCAGGATTCAAAGAAGATCCACACATCTCCATGGATTCACAGATATCTTAAAACACTGTCAGTTTCTCTTTCTTTTCCCCTTGAATTTTATTTTGAAAGAAACTAGAGAATCTCCAAGATTCTGGCGGTTTTTTGGTTATATTTGTAGGCAGCATTTAATGAGTTCTGTCTGCTTGTTTCCTGTAAATTGGTAGTTCAATCTAGGAGTTCATTTATTATTATAGTAATAATTGACATATTTGTATTTATTTTTTTTACCATCCTATTTGTCCTGTTTTTCTTGCTCCTTAAATTTCCCCCTCATTTCTTGAATTCTGGTGTGTTATTTTTCTCCATATTATGTATTTCATTCCTCCTTTCTGTATGGAAATTGTGTAATCTATTTCTAAATTTTTAGTAGTTACACTTGAAATGTTAATATCTTCAATAAACAAAGCAGTGGTGTGTGAAGGGTGGTGGTGGGAGTAGTCTGCCCTGGCCACAGGCAGTAGGGGGAGAATTATTTCTAGTTAAGTTAAAAACATTAGTAAAACCGATGAAGAGTCTATCTGCATTTTATTATTGCCATACACCAGCAATTCTAAACGATGATAGTGATAAAGCATGCCTCCTGCCAGATGGACTGCTACCCCTCACTGCTTGGTATGCTGCCCTACTAATTTTCACCTCCTCCAGAACACTCCAAAAATCTTTAGTTTTGAACATTCCTCTGACTTACATATTATTGTCCGGTATTTTATCTTTTTGTAAACTCCTCAAGATAGAAAACATATGTATTACTGTTTTACACAGTTGGTGTTTGTTTAGATTTACTCACATGTTTTCCTTCCCCCTACCCCTCTACATTCCCTCTTGCATCATATGCCTTCCTTTGGGGGTAATTTTCCTCCTTCCTCAAATGCATGCTTTAGAAATTGCTTTTGTAAGCATCTGTTGGTGATCACATCTTCCATTTCTATTTGTCTGAAAAAGCCTTTATTTCATCCTCGTTTTTGAAATGGTTTTCTCTTAGTATATAATTCTAGACTGGCAACTATCTTCTCCAACACTTTGAAGACATTACACTGTCTTCTGGCTTTCATTGTGCACTATTGAGAAGTCATTTGTCCATCAATTTGTCATTTCTCTGTAGGTGATGTTTTTTTTATTCCCCTGGCTGTTTTTTAAGATTTTCTTTCTTTCTTTCTTTCTTTCTTTCTTTCTTCTTTCTTCTTTCTTTCTTTTTCTTTCTTTCTTTCTTTCCTTCCTTCCCTTCCTTCCTTCCTTTCTCTTGCCTTCCCTTCTTCTTCCTTCCTTCCTTCCTTCCTTCCTCCTTCTTCTTCTTTCTTTCTTCTTTCTTTCTTCTTTCTTTCTTTTTCTTTCTTTCTTTCTTCTTTTTTCTTTCTCTCTCTTCTCTTCCTCTCTCTCTCACTCTCCTCCTCTCTTCTTTCTTTCTTTCTTTCTTTCTTTCTTTCTTCTGCGGTTTCACTACAGTGTGTTTAGATATGAATTTCTTTTCATTTATCCTTTTGGAGATCTGTTAGGCTTCCCAAATCTAAGAATTCATGGCTTTCATCTCTTCTGGAAAATTATCAGTGAATGTTTCTTTATCTGACTCTTTCTCACCTTATTATCTTCTTAAGAAACTCCAAATAGATATCTGCTGAACATTCTCACTTTAATATACATGTGCCAATAATTTTTCCATTTATATCTTTCTGTGCTATATTCTAGTTTAATACTTTTTCCTTTATATGTGTCTAAATTGTTCTTGTTTATTTAGCTTCTAATTTTGATTACAGTCATGAGTCCCTTCATGAAGGGGATACAATCTGAGAAATGTATTGTTAGGTGATTTTGTCATTGTGTAAACATTATAGAGTGTGCTTACACAAACCCAGATGGTCTAGCCTACTGCATACCCAGCTACGTGGTATATAGCCTATTGCTTCCAGGCTATAAACCTGTACAGCATGTTACCATACTGAATATGGTAGGCAATTATAACACAATGGTAAATATTTGTGTGTCTGAACATAGAAAAGATACAGTAAAAATATGGTATAAAAGATAAAAATGGTGCACCTGTATAGAGCACTTACTATGATGTAGCTTGCAGGACTGGAAGTTGCTCTGGGTGAGTTAGTGAGTTAATAGTGAGTGAATGTGAAGGCCTAGGACATTACTATACACTACTGCAAAATTTATAAACACTGCACACTTAGGTTGCACTAAATATATAAAAAAATTTTTCTTTCTTCAATAGCAAATTAACCTCAGCTTACTATAACCTTTTACTTCAAAACTTTTAAATTTTTTAAAAAATTTTTGACTCTTTTGAAATAACACAACTTAAGATGCAAACATATACAACTGTACAAAATATTTTCTTTATATCCTTATTCTATAAGCTTTTTTTTTCTATTTTTATTAATACAATTTTAATTTTTTTCTACTTTTTAAGCTCATTTTGTTAAAAATTAAGATACAAATACACACATTAGCCTAGGCCTATAGATGGTCGTTAGTGTCACTGTCCTCCACCTCCCCATCTTGTCCCACTGGAAGGTGTTCAGGGGCAATAACACACATGGACACACCAAGCCTGTCATCTCCTATGATAACTATGTCTACTTTTGGAATACCTCCTGAAGGACCTGCCTGAGGCTATTCTACAGTTAACTTTTTAAATATGCTAGTGGAAGGATTACACTCCAAAATGATAAAAAAAAAAAAAGTATAGTAAAGACAAACTAATAAAATAGTCATTTATTATTATTATCTTGTTATTATATACATATAATTGTATATGCTATACTTCTGTATGACTGTCAGTGCAGTAGGTTTGTTGACACGATCATCACCACAAACACATGAATAATGTTTTGTGCTACAATGTTTTGTTGGCAATGACATCATTAGGTGATAGAAAATTTTCAGCTCCATTATAATCATATAGGACCACTGTCATATATTTGGTCCACCATTAACCAAAACATTGTTTTGGTTACAGTCATGCTTTGCATGACTGTAGTTTTATTTCCCCCAAATATTCATGATCATTTATAATACATCTTGTTCCATTTTTTTTGTTGTTATTTTCCTCTATGTATAAACATATTAAACATCTTATATTCTAATGTTCTTATATTCTTAATGTTCTTAATCTTAATTCTTAATCTTATATTCTAATGTTCTTAAATAAACATCTTATATTCTAATATTCTACCTCAAATCTTTGTTGGTGTAATTCTGCTATTTATTATTTCAGTTGACTTGTTTGAAACTTTATATCTTTGTATTACTTTGAATTTTTAAAAACCATAATCTTGTATTTGATGGAATTTTATCTGTGACAATATTTTGATTCCTGTATTTAAGGACATTCCTCCTGAGTTTATTTGCCTTTGATACATATGAGTGCCTAATGACACTGCCAGTCAGGACACTTTAAACTAAATTTTTAGCTTTTTTTTTAAGCCTGTAGTAATTGGGTTTTAGAATTATATGAGTGCTGGTTTATGAAGGCAAATTCTTGGGCTAAATTCCTCAGACTCCACCCGGATGAGTCTTCTTTGTTAGGGTTTTTTTTTTTCCTCCTGTTTTTCACATTTTGTTCTGATTCACCAGTCACTGAGGATGCCACTGAAACCAAAACTGTAGGTGACAGGGGGAATCAGCAGATGCCTTGAGCACACAACAGAGTCAGTGGCTCCTTATCTATTGGGTTTCCTGTTCCTGCTTTGGCCTCTAAAGATTTTTCTTAGTTTCTTACCAATTTGGACATTTATTTTAAAAAATTCTAAATTCATACCCATAAGATTTAGGTGTTTTGTGGTATAAAAGATTTTTATTATTGTTGTTGCTTAATAAAAGTAAGCCTTTCTTATTTTAATATTTTAAAAAGTAAGATATTTAAAAGGGTTGTTGCCTTTAATGAATAAGCATTTTTAAATTTAATATTTTTTAAAACACTTATTGAAATTTGTTTAAATTTCAAACAACCCTCAATCCCCCATCTTAGTCTGTTTACTGTTGCTACAACAGAATACTTGAGACTAGGAAATGTTTCAAGGGAAGAGATCTACTTAGCTTACTATTCTGGGGACTGGGAGGAAGGTCAAACATCAGGTGACCACTTCCGGGTTGGCTTTTGGTGTGGCTCTAGCGATACTGTCATAACATGGTGGAGAAGCGGAAGCGGAAGTGAGCGCATGTGAAGACACAAAACAAGAGAAGCACCCTTGCTTCTAACAATCCACGCTCATGGTACCTAAGCTAATTCTAAGAAGGCAAAAACTCAGTCCCTTGAGGAAGGCGTTAATGCCTCTAAACCAGCAGTCCTCAACCTTTTTGGCACCAGGGACCGTTTTCATGGAAGATAACTTTTCCGTGACGGGGGTGGGGAGCGGCGTGGGGCCGAGGAGCCCTGCCACCCGCGGGCCCCTAACAGGCCCGGGGTTGGGACCGCAGCTCCCAACGACTTAATCCCGTTTTGCAGGCACCACCTCCCAATACCGCCACACTGGGGACCAAGCCTCCGATTGAGTTTGGTGGGGACAAACAATATTCGAGCCCAGCCGTGGCACGCCCCTCTCCTTTAAGCTCAGCTCCTCAATCCCTTTCCTCCTAAGGTGACTACATGGAGGCCATGCAATGGGACAGAAGAGCTAAGAAAACCAGGCAGTGTCTGAATGATCAGGACCCAAACTCACTAAGAATCCATGTAAGTAGTTATTTTGTTTGATAATGAAAATCTGGCCTTCAACTTCAGTTATTCTTTAAGACACTAAAGCCAGTTCACGAACTAGTGGAACCTAATGCTGGCAAACCACACGCATCCCGAGTTTGAGTTTTTGAATACGGAGTGAAAATACTGAGTTATCTGCACGGTCACATATCACATGCTCTACACACATTGAAAAATGTCCATTTGGATGTATGTGAGGTTCTCTGAAATCCAAATGAATTCACATTTCATGCACTTAAAATAATAGCATCATCATTTGACTTTTTTGTGAGGCAATCTTTCTGTGTGGAGTGCTCCTTTGCTTACTAAGCCCTTTGGGGTGGCAACTAAAAATCCATTTTCATGATTCTAACTTTTATTTAATTAAAGGTAGGCTAAAGTACCAGTTATCCCAGCTAGATAATCTAATGGAGTGTGCAATCAAGGGCCATCAGCTGGTCCCAGAGCGGCTGAATGTAATAGCTGCCTGCCATGGGGGCTGGGCAGGATCACTTTGCATTTCCCAGTGAGGATGCCAAAGACAGAGTAGTGCAGCAGCTGTGGTTCTTGTGACATCAAGAGGCCACTTTGTACCTCTGGCCTTTCCCGTTTCTTTTTTGTGTGTATTCCCCAAACTCGGTGGCAAGAGCTGCTTTTCATGGCTTAAGCCTCAAGACCACTCAGGGAGGAGGAGGATGAAGGGAATGAGATTAGGGAATGGGAGAGGGGTCTTATTGTCTACTCCCTTGATCAAGAACAAATTGATGCTTACCCAATTTGTTCCTTACTCCAAGGGGTGTCTGTGGAAATTGGAGGATGGGACTTGGGACTGGTGGGGGTGAGAGGTATGATGACATTCTGTAACAAGTAACCAATTGTTGGGTGTTCTGGCATGAAAGGTGCAAAGTATTATTATTTCATTTACCTAATTCAAGGCAATTATTTTAATTAAAGGATTATTCTAAAAAATTAACCTTTTTTGAGATGTTGTGTGCTTATTTACCCACTCCTTCAAATCCCTCTTACATGCAGACTTGTGAATTTCATCTATTTTTGTAAACATGATTCCCCACAGAAAATCATTGTATATCATTGATATACTACAGTATAGTCTTATGCCTTCAGTAAAGACAGTTTACAGTCACCACTCCTTACATAACTAGCTGTAAACGTAATGGTTATTACTAAATTACTCCTCAGCTTTTTCTAGAAGAGGTGAAAATGCTTCTTTTAGCTTTTTTCATGGGCCTTTCCCCCTAATCTTTCTTCAGTAATCTTTGAAGATGTGCCTTGAAACCTCTTTTTAAGATCTCTATTCTCCTTTTTAAGTTAAGAAATCCATAAATTGCTTATGTGGTGATAAGAGTTTGAGAAATACTTAGAAAATGAAAGAATTGCTTCAGGTTTTGTCAGTGTAGCCCATGCTTTGATGAATCTCTGTGTCATGTGAAAATGGTGACTCAGGTTGTATTTTCTATTTTTAGATTCCAACCTTTTAAAATGGCATTTAGCAGCATATTCCCAGGATATTTGAAGTGCAGAGTCAATGATAAATGAACATTTATAGTTGAGATTTGGGAGTTATTAATCAATGTACCTCCATATTATTGGCTCTTAAAAACTTAATGTAAACATATTTAATTAGATTCCTACCAAAGATGAATTTTTAAAAAGCTTACATTTCAAAACCAGGTATCTGTACTAACACCTTTTTTTGTTTGTTTGTTTTTATCCAGGGAAATATTTTATAGGAATAGTATTTGTCTTCTGTTATGCCTTTCAATTGTGTGATTTTTTTTTTTTTTGCTTATCCTGCTCAGGCACCTGGGTAAACTTCTTTAGGTGATGAGCTTAAAATAATTTTCCATGGAAGAACCTAATTGAAAGTTGTTCCGGTGTTGAGGGTGTCAGCAGAAACTACATGAGAAGATATGATAGAAATACAAAGAAAAATTTTAGAGGAGTGACATATCTATATTTTTCTTGGTCAAGAAGATAAAAAAGTTTGGAAATCTTAAATTATCAGGGGATATAAAAGGTAAAGCTTGAATTTTGCTGCCAAATTTTAGATTTTTTCAAGCTTTTGATGCTTGTGTGACACCCTTCTAGTTTAAAGAAAGATGAAAAGGTATTGATTTGCCAACAAAAAAGATCAAAAGGTATTGATTCTGCCAACATACTGGGAGAGACAAGGATAGGCGTATGAGTCATTTTCATGTCTAGTCCTACTTTACCTAGTTTAGTTATAGGAATTTATTCATTTCAAATTAAGACATAATGGATTTGTGGAAAAGTACAAAAGATATCTGGAGATGATTAATGTAAGAGTCCTTAGAAAACATAAGAGCATCCTAGCCACTTTGGCTAATGTGAATAGATGTTATTTATTCAGTTAGGAAAAGAGAGAGACATGTTCAGGTATTTAGGACACTATAGGCCAGGCTTGGTGTGTTTTAGAGATCAGCATTTAGCCTGTGTTAGAGCTCATGAAGTGTGGATTATATTCTCCATTTTATTGATAAGAAAACTGAGACATTAAAAAAAATTACATCTCTGGGATTTACTTCAAAATACTCCAGGGGCAGGGATGAGAAATTTCATGGAGGGTGCAGATGAAACAAGATAGGCTATGAACTGATAATTATTAAAGTTGGGTGAGGGGAACATGAGGCTTCATTACACTACTCTATTTCTTTTTATGTATTTGAAGTTTTCCAAGCAAAAAATTTTTATTTACTTCTATTTTTGAGAGTGTCTCACTCTGTTGCCCAGGCTAGAGTGCCTGGTGTCAGCCTAGCTCACAGCAACCTCAAACTCCTGAGCTCAAGCTATTCTCCTACCTCATACTCCTGAGTAGCTGGGACTATGGTGGGCACCACCACCACCAGCTAATTTTTTCTATTTTTAGTAGAGATTGGGTCTCGCTGTTGCTCAGGCTGGTCTCGAACTCCTGAGCTCAAGCCATCCTCCTGCTTCGGCCTCCCAGAGTGCAAGGATTACAGGCGTGAGCCACTGTGCCTGGCCAAATAAAAAGCTTTTGGAAAGTCACTAATAAGCATCAAAATTCAAACACAGATTTTGCAGATTTCAAGTTCATTCTCTGTGGAACATATGACACACATAATAATTTCTGAAAAACTGAAGAGCAATTTGCAAGCCAGATAATAAATCAGGAACTTAAGTTTTATTTAAAAAGTGACAGTTGCTTGTTTTATGACCTCAAACAGAAGTGAAACTATATGAATCTTGGTTTTGATATTTATTAAGTGAAGATATCCTTTGTTCTGTTGAAAAAGTGTGAGTATAAAATAGAATTTTAAAAATGTCCTAATGTTACTTCATTTAATTGTGTATTCTGAAAGGATCTATATCTTTTTGTTTTTAAAGAAGATTGTTCAATATTCTAAACATTTTGTATTGAATATTTATAGAGCTAGGTAAGAATGATAATTTTGTCCATGAGACACAGTAGACTTAGAGAATTTGTGAACTAAGCTTTAATAAGATTGAACTTTAGCCAGGGCAAGGAAAAACGTTTAACTGTAGGTTATGAGAACCACTTCAACTGGAATAACTTTCTGGCTCTATCTAATGCAGTTCTTTCATCTGTTTACTGAAAAGGTAACCTGTTTAATGAAAAGGTTTCTTAAGAAATAGAATGCACCTTAACTTACACCATATTTATATTTCGCAATACAACGTTATTCCACTGAAGACGTTATGCTAAATGAAAGAAACCAGAAACAAAAGGCTACATATGATATGATTCCATGTATATAGCATTCCAAAATGACAAAGTAGAGGGATAGAAAACCAATCAGTAGTTGCCAGGGACCAGGGGTAGGGGGAGGAGATTGATGGCAAAGGGTCCCATGGGCATTATTTGGGGTGATGGAACTATTCTTTATCTTCATTGTGGTGGTGGTTACACAGCCTTATGTTTGCCCAAATTTAACAGAACATAAAAATGTATGAATTTACTACATGTAAATTATATATAAATAAATATGATTTAAAAAGCATATATATAGATAGATAGATACAGTTTAGAAAACATGCCTCTGTGTCAACAAGCGCACAGAGACCATGCACTCACCTGAATGCTGACAGGAAGCCCCAGTCCTCGGTCGTCAACCACAGTCACAGTCATGATGGTCTGAATCACCAAGGCAATGAAGGTGTTGATTCCAAACACCAGGGCATAGCGCTCCATGCTCAGATGAACTGCAATTTGAAATCTATCATTGCACACATAGAAAAGAGGGTTAAAAGAACACATATGTGGGTTTTTAAATACAAAGCAGTGAATTGTGTCGTGCCCAGGGATTTGCTTTGCTGAGGAAGCTTAGGTTTCTGTCGACAGGTTTCTAAAAGCTCCTCTAGCAGAGATGGCCCAAGGAAATAAGGGTAAATGGGATAGTGAAATGTGTTTTAACATTCCATGGGATGTGATATAGTATGCCAAGAATTTAAAACTAGTTAACCATTTCTTTTTAAAATTAAACCAAATATTCCAAATAGTCTGCAAGTAGAGAACATTGAACATTATTTGAGATAAATATGGTTGAGCAGTCACTTTTAAAATTAGACATATTATAAGTAGAAACAGATCAATATGATGAATTTTTATTATTTGAAGATTTGATCACTGGATCATTGATTGTCTAAATTAGCAATTTCAGAGTCTAAGTGGTGAATTTTCCTGTGGAAAACCCACAAATTATCTCCTTTCACTGTTGATTCAATCTGGAAATTAATTCATTTAAAATAATTGTACTGGATTTTGAAATTTAGCCAAGACATACATATATATATATATATATATATATATATATATGCATTAGAGTTCTTCTATGTAATTTAGCTAAAACTAAATTAACTTGACTCTATTTAAAAATATGAAACCAATGAAAAGTTTTAAGTATTTTTTATGTCTCCTCTAAAAATCTTTACATTAAAAAACAAATACAAGTATTTTAAAATTATGTGATTCAATGAAAATGCATTATTTCCATGTAAAAAAAATAACCAAGTAAATGTAACAAAAGCCATAAATAACATTAGGTCCCACACAGTGAACATAACATGTGGTCCAAATAGGACTTGTAATTTCAGGTATTTCTTATTCAGCTAAGAGTTTTTCCTTTGAGCAAATGTTGTACTAGATTGATGCTTTTGAAACCTAGATTAAATGAAATGACAGATTTCTTTTTAGTATGCAAATTATTCCAAGTTGAAATCTTAATTTAATCTGTACTGATGCCTAAACAGCTTGATAGTGATTACTTGGTTTTGGATAAGACTTGTATATGTGGTGAGTTTGAATGAAACACAGTTCTCATGGCAGGCTCAGAGTGGCATTGAATCCTAAGATTTTCAGCCCAAACCCAAAAAATTATTTCCAAGGTACCTGAAATTACATGTAATTATGCTATCTAAAATCTTATTTTGAAGCTCTTGTTGGTTTGTTGCACGGTGGCATCCACTGATCACTATGGAGACGTTGAGCTACCACGCACAGAACATTGCCCAAGACCAGCCAGCAAGTTCTTGACAAAAGAATTGTATTTATGTTCTTCCACCAGGCATTTAACACTAACTACAGATGAACCTCTGAGATAGAACTATTTTGAAATTTTATTTGATCATTTATGTACTATGTATTATCGAATTATAGGATTGGCATTTCCCTTGCTTAAATGTTTATTTAAAGCTTAAGGGCTCTGTAGTCAGCAGGTAGTGACTCCTGCCAGGACTGGTGTTTCCCTTCAGGATAGTGGGTTCCCTTCTGGTTCAAGGTGGGTCTAGAAATGCCATACAGGAAATAACACCTGGATTTAGGGAGTTTGAGAGTTGGCTTGTACTGTGGCTGAGCTGGTATCCAAACTGCAAGACAAATCCTTTGTACTCTTCCCTTTCCTTTGCCCAAGTGGGAGAAGACTTTCCCTGAGCTGCACTGCCTGGAATTGGGGTGGGGTAGGCCTGATTGCTCCATCTACTAATAGATCTGCCAGTACAATCTTGAATATGTATTGATGGCAGCTATCTTTTTCTTGTCAATCTGGGGAAAATCTTTCACTAATGAGTATGATGTTTGCTATAGCTTTTTCATCAGGTTAAGAAAGTTCACTTTTATTCCTAATTTTCAAAGAGTTATTTTTCCTTTTTGAATGAGTATTGAATTGAGTATTTTACTAAAGGATTTCTTTGCACCTAACAAAATAATGATATGATTTTTCTTGTATATTCTGTTTATGTGACGAGTTATATAAATTGTCTTATGGATGTTAAACTAACCTTGCATTTCTGTAATAAAGCAAACATTTCATGCTATGTCATCATCATTATATATATAGTTGCATATGGCTAGTTACTATTTTGTTCAGGATTTTTTCCACCTGCTTTCATGAGAGAATAAACTGTAATTTCTCTTTCTTGGAATGTTTGTGGCAGTTTTTGGCAAAAAGGTTGTGTTTATTTTATAAAACAAATCAAAAACTATTCTCTGGAGATATTTATATAAGATTGCTATTACTTTTTATTCAAATATTTTGAAGAATTTATTTGTGAAGCCAAGTGGGCCTGGAGTTTTCTTTGATTTTTATTTAAGAATTAAGTTTCTTTAACAGAACTCTTCAAATTTTCTATCTCTTCTTGTGTCTATTTTGGAAAATGGTAATTTTCAAGAAATTTGTGCATTTCATTTCAAATTTACTAGCATAAACTTATTAATAAAATCTACAGTTATCTCCTTAATATTTGAAAGACATGTAGTCATGTCCCCTTTTTCTTTTTTTAGTAACCAGACATTGAACAAAATGGTTCCTTTTTCATTTCTGATATTTATAGCTTGTATTTTTCCCTCATTTTATCCATAAGCAGTATCTCTCATATTTATGAGTCTTTTCAAATGATTAATTTGGCTTTACTGATTTTTCCTATTGTACTATTTTCTATTCTATTTATTTTATTTTATTTTATGTTCTGATCTCTGTCGTTTTCTTCCTTTGTCTTTATTTGAGCTTAATTTGCTGTTCTCTTCAGCTTCTGGAAATGGCTGTTTAACTTAATTTTTGCCCTTTCTTTTGTTTTTTTAATAAATGCACATGAAACCATATGATTCTGTCTTTGCACTGCTTAATTGCACCCTAAAAGTTTTTTTTTGGAGACAAAATCTCACTCTTGTTGCCTCAGCTAGAGTGCCATGGCGTCAGCCTCACTCACAGCAACCTCAAACTCCTGGGCTCAAGCAATCCTCCTGCCTCAGCCTCCCAAGTAGCTGGGACCACAGGCATGTGCCACCATGCCCAGCTAATTTTTTCTATATGTTTTTAGTTGCCAATTAATTTCTTTCTATTTTTAGTAGAGACGGGGGTCTCACTCTTGCTCAGGCTGGTCTTGAACTCCTGACCTTGAACGATCCGCCCATCTCAGCCTCCCAGAGTGCTAGGATTATAGGCATGAGCCACCATGCCTGGCTGTACCCTATAAGTTTTGATTTTTCATATTTTCATTGTCATTCAGCTCATATTATTTTCTAATTTTAATTATAATTTCTTTTTTTGACCTTGTTCTTTCTTTAATTCTAAAACATTTGGTTATTTTTTAGTTACAGTTTTGTTAATGATGTTAGCTTAATTATGGTTGTCAGAATACTTATTCTATATAATTTCAATCTTTTGAAATTTATTGAAAGTTACTCTTTGGCCCAGTATCCAAATCTGTTTTTGGTCACTATTCTATGTTCACTCGAAAATAATGTTTATTCTGCATTTATTGGCTATAGTTTTCATATGTCCATCATTGCAACTTTGTTGAACATGTAATTTCAATCTGCCTAAGCATTATTAATTCTTTTTATGTGCTTGTTATTGAGAGAGGTATGTTCATATTTGCAACTGTGAGTGTGGACTCGATTATTTCTCATTTTAGTTTTGTCAGGTTTTCCTCAATGTATTTCAAGGCTATGTTACTCATTGCATGCAAATTTAGAATTATTTTATTTATCTAATTGTTGATTAACACTTTTTTCATTATAAAATGACTATAAAATTTATCATAATGAAAACATCACTCTGTTGTTATTGATTATTTTATCTGATATTAGGATAACCATAAACTAGCTTTCCTTTTGTTAGTGTTTGCATAGTATATCTTTTCCCATTCTTTAACTTTCAATCTTTTGGAGCCCTTATTTTCAAGAAGTATGGCTTGAAAGTGACATAATTAAGTTAAGATTTTAAAATTCATTTGGCTAACTTTTGTCTTAGAGTAATTTAGTTCAGGCACACTTTAATGATTTTACTGACATATTTGGATATTTGGTTATAAACTTATCATCTCACTCAGGGCTTTCTATTTGTCCTGTTTAATGTATGTTTCTTGTTCTGTTTCCTGCCTTTTATTCCTTTAATTAAGTATAAAAGTACCTTCCTTCCTTTATAAGCTTGTTAGTAATATCTTATTTTATTATTCTCTTAGTGGTTACCATAGAGATTATAGCATGCATTTTTGAGCTAGTAGAGTCTATTCCAAATTAGTATTTTCACCACTTCTTTGACAATCCAAGGCTTTTGCAATACTTTAAATCTATTACTCCTCCTTCCTTTTGTGTTATCATAATAAATTTTAATTCTACATATATTTTAAAAACTAGAAGCATTATTACTATCATTTTGAAAGTCAAGATTTGCTTAAATTTATTCACATATTTATTCTGTCCAGTGTTCTTTATTATTCCTGCATTACTGCAATTCCAATGTTGATCATTTCCATCTGCCTGAAGAACTTTTTTTGTATGTCTTCTAATGTGAGCCACAAAAATCTTGCTTCATTTTTGTTTGTTTTATAAATGTCTGTTTTGCCTTATTTTTGGAGAATATTTTTGCCAAGTATAAAATTCTAGGTTAACAGTTCTTTACTTTCAGTACTTTAAAAATGATCTTTCATTGTTTTCTGGCTTCTGTTATTTTTGATGAAAATTCAGATGTCATTCTTATTAATACTCCTTTAAAAGAAATGCATCTCACATACATTTTATAGACAAGCAGAGTAGAAAACTTTAAAGCCAAACAACACGTCAAATATGCTGCTGCCAATAATGTTAGGTCAAAGAGAATATTATTGGATGTTTATATCTGATTAACTTGCTAAATAAAATGAAGCGCATTGTCACACAGGAAATGAGAAGCAACAACCTAATCTCTTCAAGTATTCTCCAGGCAACATCCAACACCTCCTTACCCCATTTTCTTTGTTTTTTAATTAATCTAGATCAAATTTTTGTTTTTTTAAACTACTGTATGACACAGTATTTATTATGTTTATATGTAGTTTCACTGAGCTGCTTCAATTTTATAACATCCCTGAGAATATTTGATATGTTATTTCAGAAAGAAGTAGGATATGCTCTCACTATTAAGTAGGCAAGGAAAATTGGGAGTGAGAACTAAACTTAGTCGAAATTAGATAGAATCACACCTTATTATATTACGTTGCTAAGACAAAATCAAAACCTAAAAATATACCATTGCTTATTAATTGTGAGAACTTCATTCCCCTTGCCCCGATTAGTAATCTTAATCAAGTCCCAAGAGAAAGTTGATTAAAATAGGAATATAGTTCCATTGTCTCTTGTAGGAAGCGTTAACTATAACATTGCAAAGTGCTATTCGGAGGAAATGGAAGAATAAACAAACATGTTTTGTTGCTTCAGGTTTAGATAGTTGAAAGAAATGGTAAATACTTACGCTGCTATGGTTATAAGGAGCATATAACTTGACTTGAATATTAAAAGACTGGCATAGCACACCCAAATGTTAGTTGTGAAATGCATGAGAAAGAGAGAACCCGCATCTGCTGCTGAGAAGATTCCCAAGGCCAACTCTCCCAGAAGATCCCAGTTGACTTTCACGTAGCCCACTGTGAAGGCTGCTATGGCCCCTGAGAAGAAAGGAATCAATGTATATGACATCTTGTTAATCCGAGTATAGTAAGGTAGCACGCAGTTGTGTTAAAATCCACATTACGGAAGCACTAAAGCATTTCCAGGCTATGGTAAAAAACGCTGACTGTTAACTTCGAGTGAAAAATCACTTAATTCAGCTCTGTGAACTCCACATATCTTTTTTTCTTAGAGTTTGAAATAGACCAACTGAGTTTGGGTTTCCATAAATCATAGCCTGGAAAGGACCCATGGAGGCCATTTTTTCTTTCCTGTTCCTTTTGCAGATGATAAAACTCAGGCTTAGAAACCTGGTGTGAAATAAAAACAAATCCGGACTCAGATAGGAGAGACTTTATTTAGAGGAAAGACTACTGCAATAGAAAGAATGCTCTGACTGCAGAAATCTGCCAGTGTCTCAAAATCAAACCGAAAAGGGGTTTTCTTTCACAGGCCAAAGGAGGGGCAGGCAGAGATAAGCAGCATCTTTGCAGAGGAAGCCTGACCAGCGAGGGGAAACGGTCAGCGGGCTTTGATAGGGAAATGTCCCACTGTGGCCAGCCCATTCCCAGGAGGAGCTGATAAGGGGGGCACATTCCACATTTTTTTGTGCTTGCTCAGTGTTTAGGGGCCTGTAGGAAAGAGAGGAGCCTAAGTAAAGTTTGATCAAGATAAAGCAGAGAGTGAAAAATGGGAAGCTGTGAACACTTGGTCACTGGAGTTGAGCAAGGGCTGTAGCCTTGAGTTTCCTAATCTGGGGTGCCTTCTCTTCCACCACATCCTTTCTAAGTGCCCTGTTACTGGCGCTCTAGCAAGGACGGCTTCTCTCTATTCGTCCTTGTCTCTGTTTTCTTTCCCCTCTGTAACATCATTCGAAAAATTTTTTCTCAGGATCCCTGACAGATACCAAACTTCTTTTCAAGAATTCTCTCTATTTCTTCCCCATTTGTATGTTTGATCATTCTCTTCTTTATTTGTTCGTTCATTCATTCATTCATTCATTCACCCACCAAGCCTCTTTGAGCTTCTCTGTGGGTAGCAAATTTTGTGTCCTTGTTTTGAAAACAGTACAGCCTAGTGGGGAAATTAGAGAAATAAAGTTATAATTTTAATACAATGTGATAAGGGTTATAAAAGAGTTCTGATCCTAACCCAAATCTAACCCTAACCCTAATCCAGTGGTTCTCAAACCAGGGTGTTCTTGCTTTCTAGGGGACAGGTGACAATATTCGGAGACATTTTGGGTTGTCACGACTGGGGGCGTCCTAGGTTCTAGTGGGTTAGAGGCTGATAATGTTGCAGAACATCTTACAAAGTGCAGGACAGCCCCCAACGATAAAGAATTGCCCAGCCCTCAATGTCAATAGTGCTGAGGATGAGAGACGCTGATCCAAGCCCTGACCTAACTGACCAAGTGTTTGGAATTTTCAGAAGGGGAAACGAGAAGAATACGAGCCCAACAATGGGCCTTGAAATGTTCAATAAATAGGTGGGTGTGGAACAACCCAACTTTAAAATAAATATCTTCAAAGTCTCATTTGATGTGAAAGCTTTGCTCTGTTGGGAAAGTACGTGTGCATTGTTGGGCTAACTTCAAAGACGGCTCCGGGCTCTGCCCTTCTCACGTTAGGGTATTGACACCTGCACCAGCCCACCGCTCGCTCTCTCCTTGCACCTCGCGCCTTTTGGAAAAGTGTTTCAAATTTCGCAAAATATATTATATTTTGGGAAAGAGGAAGAGTGCACAGAAAAGTATCTAAAATCTCCAAATTATTGTAGTTTTTTAGCCAAGAAGGAAATTTTACTCAAGCAAAAGGCCCTTGAGGGAGCTTTAACGGTGAATTTAAGTGGGAGCTGAGAACCCCTCACCCAAGACTTCCAAGCTCCTTTAGGACGCTCAAGCCTTCGTCTTTCTGTCAGATAAAAAGGTGCTCAGCGCGTAATCCCTACCACCTCGGAGCCGAGGTGCGATGCTAGTTCAGGATTCAAACCAGCCTGCACAAGAGCGAGACCATCCTACTATAATAGAAAGAAATAAATGCCAAACTAATATATACGAAAAAAATTCGCCTGGATGGTGTGCATTGCCTGTATTCCAGCTACTCGCAAGGCTGACGGCAGAAGGATCGCTTGAGCCCAGGATGTTGAGTGCTTGTGACTAGGCTGACGCCACGCACCATCCAGCCTGCAACAAGCGAGACCTGCTGTCTCAAAAATAAATAAATACATAAAATAAATAAAAATAAATAAGGATAAGCAGACATAATGAGCCACTCTTCCAAGGAACAGCATGAACCTCAGGACACGCACCCACCGGGAAGCCTGCCTGCCCACCACTACCCTCCTTTCCTGCAGACTTTGCTCTGCTGTCATTATACCGATAATCAAGGTTCCTTACTTGGGAAGAATACTGTGCCCCGCTTTACCATGACGATAGAATAAAAGTGTAACATCCGAAAGCCAGCATAAAAACACAGGCCAGCTACAATACTGGTCGGAAGGAGAGAGGGAATGGTCATAAGAGTTATACTGAGTAACATCCGTTCATAAACATCTAGTTTGTGGGAATGGAGTGCGAGTATAGAACAGGCTTAAAAACAAAAGTAAAGCTTTGCAAAGTCCACACGTAAGTAAAGGAAAGACAAACGATTATTTTCCTTGATTGGGACCTTTTGAAAGATAAGGTTAAGCAGATTTCAATGCTTTGACCATTGCCCAAGGAAAATATTTTTATATATCAACTACACATATATTTGTGAACTTGAATTGCAAAACAAAACGAAACTATATGCTCCCAACTCTATCTATTTATCTTTATTTAAATGCTGGCCACCTCACTAAGTTGAGTTCAAAGATCTGACAGTCCTATATAAGGAAACACGTTCTTAGACTGTGTCCATATTCTATTTTCTTTTACAATTGTCACATCTTTTTTCCCCTAAAACCTTTAAAAACGTAAAATTATTGCAGTGGGCCTGCTCATAGTTCCCACCCTGTATTTAATGGCTCAAAAACAGTTAAAACTAGAAGTTGAAATTAAGAAAGGAAAAGTATTGACTGTTTAACCTTAAACATCTAATCTCCCTGGCCAAACTATTGGCCATGAGACATCACCCTCGTTCCCCTGTTTTAGGGATGTAAACCCTCCCTCTGTGAGTCCTTATCAACCTTTATTTATTCATGCCTATTTAAAATTTTGAACAAAACTCTTTTACAACTCTTTTTTGAGACAGAGTCTCACTTTGTTCCCAGGCTGAGTAGGTGCCAATGGCATTCAGCCTAAATCACAGACTCCTGGCCTCAAGCAATCCTACTGTTCAGCTCCAGAATGCTGGAATAAGGCATGCCCACCAGGCCTGCTATTTTTTATAAATTATGCCAATAATTTCCTTTCTATTTAAGTAGGATGTGTCCCTCGTGCTCAGCTGGTTCGAACTCCTACGCAACAATTCGTCACTCTCAAGCCATACAGAGGTTAGTTACAGGTGTAGCCACTGCACGGCCTCTATTTCAAACTCTTAGTATCTCAGTGTTGAAATCAACTGCCAACAGCGTTATCTAAGAATACAGTTTTGGAAGCTGTATTGATTATTTGTTTACAAAATATAAACAATTTTTTAAAACACAGTAGCAAATTGGACATATCCTTTTGATCTTAAAAGGGGTATTGTGAAATAAGCTAGCAGGTGTTGTTTTGGCTTTTTAGGAGAAGAGAAACTGGATTGTTAGAGTTTTAATTGATTTGCCTACTCAGCAAGTGATAGAATATGGATAAAAATAATTGAGCCCTTTTATGGCCTCTTTTTTTATGAACAGTGAAAATATCACAATATTAATAAATAGGTGTTGCATACTTTTCCAAGCTTAGGTCTTATAATACAAGTTCTTCTTACTGTCTTGTGTTTTTCAGGACTCTATAGCACCTGAATGCATTGATTACAGTTACTTTCAAACAGGTCTAATTTTCTGCCATGGAGTATCTGAGCTACCTAGAGCAGCACATTTTCCACATATTGATTAGATAAAGCCTTGTGTACTTACCCCCAAAGGTTGCCAGGGCTTCTACCGCTCCGTTATATATTGTAGAACTTTGGGATGGTGCCTTGAAATCCCACAGGATTTGAACATAATTTAAAACCTGGTTGAACCCTGCGGTGGAAAAAGCCCACCACAAGGACCAGTAAAAAAGATGCTTTGAGGAGTAGCACTCCTTCAAATCTTGGAACCACTGCATGAAAACTCTCAAAGCCACATTGCTTGGCTTTGGGCTGCTCAACTGGTTTCCTAGTCCTTTGTGATCCTTTTGAGTTTCCCCTAAGACAGCATCCTCTCGTGGTAGCTTTTGAGGAGCTTCTTTATTGGGTTTTGTGTGAAAAAACATGCTTTTCTTGGGCATTGGTAGAAAAAGCGAGAAAATGAAGGCTATGGAGACAGAGACCAAGGATATGACATAGAGGTAAAAGTACGACAGGTGCGCCAGCGATACCAGGAGTTGGGCCAGCACGGAGGCAGCCGTGTAGGCCACCAGCGTGACGCTCCGACAGTAGCTGCTCACTCTCTGATAGTGCTCCGGGCTGACCACGCTGTATATGTAGGCGTAGTAGGCCACCTCGGTGGCAGTGACCATCCCGTAGAAGAACTCGACAACCTGCATGCACATCACTCCTTGGCCGAACAAGAGCAGCAGCCAGGTAATGATGAAGCTGACCCCTTGCAAGACGATGACAGGCTTGTAGCGGACGTAATCGGTGAGGACAAACACAGGGAACAACAGCACCAGGTAGGAGTACGTCCAAACGGGGAAGATGTCTTTTGTGATCTGCAAGATTCAACAGGGGGAGTGTGAGGACAAAAACACCAGGAAGTGAAATGCGCCCTGGGTCCCGGACACATATATCATCAGGATGACATGTGTCCACCCCAGGACACATTGGTCGGTCTGTGACAAAAGTGGGTCTAATTTCATACTTTACATGGATTTCTGACAATACATTGAAAAGCTATGGTAAGCTGAAATTTGAGCAAACAAATTACAAAAATGACAGATATTCATAACACATGAAGTCATGCTACCAGTTGTAAAAACAGAGCAGCTCTTGCTCTTGAGTTATATGCCCCTTACATTTTTTTTTTTTTTTTTTTTTGAGACAGAAGTTCTCACTTGTTGGCCCAGCTAAGAGTGAGGCCATGGCGTCAGCTAGGTCACAGTCAACCTTTAAACTCCCTGGGGCTCAGCAATCCTACTGGCTTCAGCTCAGAATGGCTGGAACTATAGGCGCACCACCATGCCTGGCTAATTTTTTTCGTATATATATTAGTTGGCAATTAATTTCTTTCTATTTATAGTAGAGATGGGGGTCTCGCTCTTGCTCAGGCTGGTCTCGAACTCCTGACGTCGAGCAATTCGTCCACCTCAGCCTCCCAGAGTGTTAGGATTACAGGTGTGAGCCACTGCACCCGGCCTCTATTTCAAACTCTTTAGTATTCAGTGTTGAAATCACTGCAACAGGGTTATCTAAGAATACAGTTTGGAAGCTGTATTGATTTATTTTGTGTTCAAGAAAACGAAATAATAAAAACAATTGGTTTTTATCTAAGATTAAGCTTACAGTATAGCTCAAGGGAAAGCAGTGAACACTCAGGTACACGCACACCCACCGGGAAGGCCTGCCTGGCCCACCAGCTCACCCCTTGCCTTTCCTGCAGGGATCTTTGCCTTCTGCTGTCATTATCACCATAATCAAGGGTTCCTACTTGTGAAGGAGTACTGTGCCCCTGCTTCTTACCAATGACGATAGAATAAAAGTGTAACATGCGCGAAAGGCCAGGCAGAAAATTACACAGGCCAGCACAATTACTTGGTTCTGGAAAGAAGATAGAATGGGAGGTCATAAGAGTTTATTCTGGAGTTAACATCGTTCTAGAAGACATCTGAGTTTGGTGGGGAATGGGGATGCTGAGTATAGAGAACAGGCTTAAAGCAGAAGGTAACAAGCTTTGGCAAAGTCCCACACGTAGAGTTAAGGAAAGATGCAAACGTATTATTTGTCTTGATTGGGAACCTTTGAAATAATAAGGTAAGAGCAGTAGTTTTCAAATTTCTTTGACCATTGCCTAAGGAAAAAATATATTTTATATATCGACTAGCACATATATGTTTGTGAACAGAATTTTTGCAAAACAAAACGATAAAAGCTGATATGCTCCCAACTCTATTCTATTCTTTGATTTAAAAATGCTGGCTAGCAACTCACTAAGTTGAGTTCAAGATCTACAGTCTATAAATAGGATATATTTTAGACTGTGGGTCTCATATTCTTCTTTTTCTTTTTTTACAACTCTTGTCACATTCTTTTTTTTTTCCCCTAAAACCTTTAAAAATGTAAAATTATTAGCAGGGGTAGCTCATGCTCATAGTTTCCCCACCTTGTATTAATGGTCTGCAAAACACAGTTTAAAGACTAGAGTTGGCAATTAGAGAAAGGAAAGAGTATTGATGGTTTAACCTTAAACCATCTAACTCTCCCTGGCCAAACCATATTTGGCCATGAGGACATCAACTTGTTGCCCCTGTTTTTAGGGATGGGTGAAACCCTCCCTTCTGTGTATACCGGTATCAACCTTTTATTGTATTAGTTGCCTATTTAAAATTTTGTGACAAAACTCTTTTTTACAAACTTTTTTTTTTGAGACAGAGTCTCACTTTGTTGCCCAGGCTAGAGTGAGTGCCATGGCGTTCAGCCTAGGGTCACAGAACCTTTAAACTCCCTGGGGCTCAGCAATCCTACTGCTTCAGCCTCCAGAATGGCTGGAACTATAGGCATGCACCACCATGCCTGGCTAATTTTTTCGATATATATATTAGTTGGCACATTAATTTCTTTCTATTATAGTTAGAGATGGGGGTCTCGCTCTTGCTCAGGCTGGTCTCGAACTCCTGACTCGAGCAAGTTCGTCCACCTCAGCCTCCCAGAGTGTTAGGATTAACAGGTGTGAGCCACTGCACCCGGCCTCTATTTCAAACTCTTTAGTATTCAGTGTTGAAATCACTGCAACAGGGTTATCTAAGAATACAGTTTGGAAGCTGTATTGATTTATTTTGTGTTCAAGAAAACGAAATAATAAAAACAATTGGTTTTTATCTAAGATACTACAGTATACAGATACTTCTGGATGCATGATCCCTTTTGATCTTAAAAGGGGTATTGTGAAATAAGCTAGCAGGTGTTGTTTTGGCTTTTTTAGGGAGAAGAGAAACTGGATTGTTAAGTTTTAATTGATTTGCCTACTTGGCAAGTGGATAGAATATGGATAAAAATTAATTGGGCCTTTTTATGGCTCTTTTTTTATGAACAGTGAAAAATATCACATATTAATAAATAGGTGTTGTATACTTTCCAAGCTTAGGTCTTATAATACAAGTTCTTCTTACTGTCTTGTTTTTCAGGGCTCTATATACACCTGAATGCATTGATTACAGTTATTTCAAACACATCTAATTTCTGCCATAGTATCTGAGCTACCTGAGCAGACCATTTTCACATATTGATAAGATAAAGCCTTGTGTACTTACCCCAAAGTTGGCCAGGGCTTCTACCGCTCCGTTATATATTGTAGAACTTTGGGATGGTGCCTTGAAATCCCACAGGATTTGAACATAATTTAAAACCTGGTTGAACCCTGCGGTGGAAAAAGCCCACCACAAGGACCAGTAAAAAGATGCTTTGAGAGTAAGCACTCCTTAATCTTGGACCAACTGCACGAAAACTCTCAAAGCCACATTGCTTGGGCTTTTTGGGCTGCTCAACTGGTTTCCTAGTCCTTTGTTGATCCTTTTGAGTTTCCCCTAAGACAGCCATCCTCTGGGTAGCTTTTGAGGGAGCTTCTTTATTGGTTTTGGTGAAAAAACATGCTTTTTCTTGGGCATTCGGTAGAAAAAAGCGAGAAAATGAAGGCTATGGAGACAGAGACCAAGGATATGACATAAGAGGTAAAAGTACGACAGGTGCGCCAGCGATACCAGGGGTTGGCCAGCACGGAGGCGGCCGTGTAGCCACCAGCGTGACGCTCCGACAGTAGCTGCTCACTCTCTGATAGTGCTCCGGCTGACCCTGTATATGTACGTGAGTAGGCCCCTCGGTGCAGTGACCATACCGTAGAAGAACTGCGACAACCGTGCATGCCACATCACTCCTTGCCGAACAAAGAGCAGCAGCCATGGTAATGAGAAGCTGCCCCTTGCAAGCGATGACGGGCTTGTAGCGGACGTAATCGGTAGAGCAAACACAGGGAAGCGAGACAGGCACCAGGGTAGGAGTACGGTCCAAACGGGAAGATGTCTTTTGTATCGCAAGAGTTACACAAGGGGGATGTGTGAAGACAAAAAACAACCAGGAAGTGAAATGCAGCCCTGGGTCCCGGGACCACATTAGTTCATCAGGATTGACATGTGTCCACCCCAGGACAAGTTGGTCGGTCTGTTTTGACAAAGTGGTCTAATTTCATACTTTACATGGATTTCTGACATTACACTGAAAAGCTATGGTACAGTGGAAATTTGAGGGCAGAACAAATTAACAAACAGACAGATATTCATGTAACACATGAAGTCATGCTTACCAGTTGTAAAAAACAGGAGAGGCTCTTTGCTCTTGAGTTATATGCCCCTTCAGATTTTTTTTTTTTTCGAAGACAGGGTTTCGCTTTCTGTTGGCTCAGGAGCCTTGGAGTGCAGGGGGCCCAGTTCATGCTCCGCACTGTTAACCTTGGAACCCTGGGGCTTACCTGGCTCAAGCATATGGTCTGGGTTAATTTTTTAATTTTTTTTTATAGAGACAGGGTCTCATTATGTTGCCCAGGCTGATCTCGAACTCCTGGCCTCAAATGATCTTCCCACCCCAGCCTCCTAAAGTGCTGGGATTGCAGGTGTGAGCCACTGTGCCTGGCCTGCTTCTTAAATTTTTAAAATGTAATTTGATCTGCTTGAACTAGGTTGAGAAAAGAGATCACAGTGCATGAATTGATCTTTTTACACTTAACCGTATTTCCATTGCAATTCAGGGCTGCTCAGGTACTGTTGCCCATGAGCATGTAACAAAATAGTTTACTCTTCTTCAAAGTCAGAATCAAAAGGTTTATAAAGGATGTTTCAGTAGTAGAAGAACCTGACCATCTTTGTCTTTGATCCACATCAATCAGTGTCTGAGCAGACCATCGAGATACTGTCTGGGTGATCAGATAAATATAAAACAAATGACCAACTTGTTATTGAATATCAGGGGAAGACATGCCAGAGTTTATCTTCTGCTCTTCTACATTCTTGACTTTACTATATTAGGCTGCTCTGAAGGAACCATGAGACACTACTTAGTAGCTCTCTCGGTCAGGTCAATTTTGGCCACAATTTCTCATGGAACTGGTTGCATTAGACAATTATCTGAACCCGTCAGTAGTAATGATTATTTCAGTTCCTACCAGGGGAATGCATGTGGATAGAAGATGACATAAAGAAAGTTGGGATGGACCCTCTTAAATCCTTGTTCTCTCTGAATTTTTAGACAACTGAAATAAAGTTTTCTAAGCCTGAGAATGTTCTTTGTTTTGATCTAATCTGTGCCTCACTCCCTGAGTTCCCAGATAGACTTTTACTCAAGTGCTTTTGAAGTTTAGTAGAACTTTATTCTTGCTCTTTTGGGCCATTAGGTGTAGTCACTAACGTGGGAAAAGCTGCATTCCAGATTCACTTTTTGTGACAGTATCTGATATCTTAACCTAGCCCATCCAAACCTTTCAGCTAAATTAGTTAGCACCTAATGACCTTCAGGATTGGCGTGCACTTGCGTTCATTGTGGGGAACAATGGTGGACTGGTTGAGTGAGCAGTTTCCTTGATGTGGAGTGGGGGAATGTGGATGGTGGCTAGAAAAGAGAGGCAAAATAAGATAAAATTGTTACATTCCTTCACTGAGTAACTAGCCTGTAAAAGTGATGTTTGTGAACTTTTTTTCCTAAAGAAATCAAATTGATACAGTTCCTTGTCTGTTCTTATTATTGCTCAATGGCTTAAAGCAGTTGTTCCCAAGCTTCAGTACGTATCAGATCCACCAGGAGGGTTTGTTAAAAAACAGACATTCAGATTCAGTAGGTCTGGGGGTAGGCTCTGAGAATTTACATTTCTAACAAATTTCCAGATGACGCTTCTGTGCTGGCCCAGGGACCACACTTTGAGAAGCACTGACTTAGAGGTTTCTTAGGACTAGATCTTATGATCGGAGTAAAAGTTACAAACAGCCTTAATATTTATAAATAAAGAAGGGGAAATCTTCAGAGGATTTTTTACATGCTTTTCAGTAACTTCACCCCTAACCCTCTCAAAATCTCCTATTATCCTCTAAGGCTTATATTCTTGAGTGGGGAGGAATTATCATTATTAATAATAATATGCAATGAAGTCCTGGAGTATTGCTTTGTCCAACTGAAATATTAAGTAAGGTTGTTTTGCACCTACCCCGTTTTTGTTGTAGCTGAAGAGTTTATATTTTTGTATGAAAAAATACATAAAAATCATTAAGGCCCATTTGTTTTCATTAGCGATTGTAAGAAGTGCTAGTATTTTGCTCTTACCCAAGGCTTGAAACATAGTTCTTGCTAGACTTGAATAGAAGATAAGCATATTAGTTAACTTACCACGCTGAGGCTTATATTTTTATCTGGTCCTGCCAAATAAGGTACAACAAACGGCTCTGATGGTTTCATCATTGAGAAAAATCCGAATAAGCAGAGAATTATAGTGGGAAAAACCCAATGGCTTGACGAAGTTTGGCAACAATTCATGGTTGGTGAAACTGCCACAGAAAAGAAAAGAGCAACTAAAATGACCGATCATCAATGCGGTTCATTTCTTTTCATAAAACATTCGTTCTCTTCCCCATGTTTCTTTTGTCCTTCAGTTTTACAAATGGAAAAAAAAAAAAATCAATGTGACAGTGAAAATATGTCACAGGTCAAACCACAGGAACCTGAGTCTTCACTCCTGGGCTTCTTTCCCAAAGAGAAAACTAATGATTACTTGGAAACAGTAAGGGATTAAGTTTCAGTTCGGCTGGAATGGTGGGGTCACTGACAGAAAGCGCTCTCAGGTGTTGGTTGTTGAGGTAAGTCAGTCAAACTCTCCTTTAGTTTTTCAGAGTGAGAAACAATCAGGGAATTTCTCCCGAGGCAGAAATCTTGGGCAGAAGATGAGAAGGTAAAATTGGTAAACTTGAGAGAAGAGAGTCTCCAGCAGACGGACATATTTGCTAAGTAAACAACTACTTTGTGCTCTTCCCCCAGGAGCCTATTAACATGTAGCTATTAACCAATTGGAAACTCATTTTAATGAGGATTTAAATGTGGTGAATAAAAAAGCATTTGGGGAGTAAAGATTTATAAAACAGATAGACTCCTTGCTTTTTCTAAGTATCAGATTCAAAGTGAATGTTGGCTTAGCCAATAATTTAGGAGCCTAAATTATTTTGAACTGTCATCCACCCAGGTGATTTTTATTTTTTTTTATATGTATTTTCAGAAGAAGAATTACACGACATCTAAACAAGATCACATCATGGGTAAAATTCAAACACAACACTTAGAAGTAGTTTTCTGGGATGATATTTCAACTCCCACTCCAAGTATTTTTCCCATTTATGTTGCTAATACTGAAGAGAGAGAGAACGTTTGTTCGGAGTGACAGGACTCAGGGTTGGCTGACCCAAAGAGGGACAAGGGCGCCCTTTAGAGAGCCACTCAGTAGCTCCGGGTGAGATCTCACTCAGTCATTGGCCACTTCCTGAAGCCTTCTTGAGCCTCTCCAGTCATCCCTTCTTCTCTTAGCCCTCATCTCATTCTAGCCCTGGCGAGATGTTATGGGGCGGCAGCTAAGGCCATGGACTCTGGGGTTAGTTAGGTCCAAATCCTTCTCTGTTACTTACAATCATGTGATCTTTGGCAAGTTACCAAACCTTCGTACCTCATCTGTAAATGGTGATGATAATACGTTGTGAGGATTACAAATGTTAACACATGTTAAAACAATGTCCGGCATACACCATGCAGTCTGTAATCATAAGCTATATAATTTGTAGCACCGATGGCTTTGAAAGGTATTGATGTGTTGACACTCACATCTCCCTGTTGGCCTGGGAGCTCCTTGAGAGCAGGGATTCAGCATTGTTACCCCAGAGTCTAGAACAGTATCTGACCCATCACAATTATCCCAGATGTGCTTATTGAAAGTATATCTTTCAATAAGATGTACTTATTGGATGGACCAGTTTCAAACTGACCAGAAAAATTCAAATAAGATGTTTTCCATGTGTTCAAATGATTTAAAGTTGTTCTCTGAGTGGGAACTATGGGCTGCCATTTGATTCTCAAGAACACATAAATTACCCTTAAAGGAGTTTTGGAATAATGAAAAGAGGGTTTCCTGGTGAAAAGAACATGCGTTTTATACTTAAGTAAATTCAAACTTCCATTCCACTCTTTCGAGTCATGTGACCCTGGACAAGCTTCTCCGTGTCTTGGGGCCTCAGTCTTTCTGACTTGCAGAGGTGGATTTCAATGTCCACCACATGGGTGGAGTCATGGGGAATGTCCTGGCATAATGTCTGCCATTGTAGCAGGTGCATCACCTGAGTTAGATTCCAGCCACTATGTGAAAATCCACACCTGGATTCCACAGCAATGGACCAGGGAAGTAACATCTATAAAGATAGTGGCAGCGTAGAGTATGAAATGCTGAAGCCACAGTCAGGTTCTTAGAGCCTGGAACCATTAGGTTTTAAATAAGTTTAGCAATGGAGATTGTTATTTACACTGATTAGTCCTGGTGGCAGCTAAGGGGAATAGCCAGGAAAGATTTCTATTAATCCGAAATAATCCTCTGGAAAGTGAGATATTAAATAATTGTATACTTTATTACTGCCAAATCCATTGTAGTTTTTGAAAGTATTTTTTAAAGCATATTAATTCCTGGGATACTACTAATAAAATTCAGAATAGAAACAGTTTCTAACAGGGTTTGTAGGTAGGAAACCTCAAATCCTCTTTTTGAATCGGGTGTTGCCATGGGCAAAATATCACTCACCAGTTCTGAGGACCAAGAGAGACCAGGGCTTTAGGTTTTTATGTTGGAAATAACTCCTGATTCCATCTCTAACATTGGCAGCCAATTTGTAAAAGCAGAATGTTTAACGTACCATGGGTGGATTGGTTGGCTTTACTAGGTTAGGGAATCCATCACCACCACAGAGAAAGGGCTCACCTAAGAAGTGATCGCTGGAGAAACAGCCACAACAAATCCTCTCCGGGGTAGGATTTCTGCTCCTCCAGTTAGGATGGGTATCGAGTTTGCCCCTGCTAGTATCTTCATTTATGGTAAAAAGACAGTGCATGGTGGGTCTTTATTTTATCTGCCAGTGTTCTGCCTATGCAGCCTCTCTGAACTGTACAGCTTTCTTAATGGCCTGTGGAAAATGAATGAGTACTTAGGAAGAACTTTGAAAACATAAAGAGTACAATATTCCTTGATTATGTGGTCTCTCTGAGACTGAAGGGGGCAAAAAGCTCAACATAAAAGATTCAAACACTCCTTCCATAGGAGCTCTTTTTCTACTTCTGAGACATTTTTCTCTTTTAAAAATTAATGGTAGAGTCATAATTGTGAAAAAAAAAAAAGACAAACTGTAAATTTACAAACCCAGATTATCTTAGCAGCATGCTTTTTAATAGGTCAAGCAAGTAGTAATTTTCAGTTAATTTTTAACTTTCTGCTTCAAAGGTCATTGGAACATCAGTAAAAATGTTACCAAAGAAATGCTCCGATTTGTTTTGGATTCTGTGGGAGTGAGTGCGAATATCTAGCCTTCTGAGGAAGGTGGGTGCATTGGAAGCGGTGAATTTCTGGTCCAGGCCACTGGTCTTTTCTAGTGTTGTTCAAACGGGGAGTCCTGGAGCCTGGGGGCTCTGGCTGCTGCAGAACTCAGGCACTGCCCAGAGCAGTTGGGTATTTCATAGACATCTCAGCTATTACTGTGATGTTGGCCATCAAATATTTTTTTTCTGTTGTATTTAATCATAGCTGGCTGACTTTACTCAAATTGCTTATCTCTTCTGAGTCCCACTGAGTAAAAGAAGATAAAAATCATCCACTTTAGTGTTGTGAGGAGTGAGAGCAATAGGCAGGGGCTCAGGGCAGCAGCGGACACAATAAATGCTACTGTCTTTCCCTTGCCTGTTTTTTTTTTTTTTGTAAACTTTGTCTAGTCAGAGCCACCCAGGAAATCACAAAGTCCAGTGAATTGCTGATAAGATAAAAAAGCTCACAACGTCAGACCTAGCTAATCTGGATTGTTGATCATCCATACAAAGTCAATGTAAAAGGTTATAAAGCCAATTTCAAGGCTGTAAAAATATGGAGAGATTGAAAAAGCAAATTTACAACATAATGAAGAATGCGAGAACTATTTCTTTAAGGAATTGCATTGTCCGAAAGCACTTTCCAAATACTAACTTATGTAAGAAAAACCATGTCATCCTTATCTGCTCTTTAATCAATTTTTTACAGTCTTCTACTCCATAGTTCCCTTCATGGGGAACCTCTGGTCAGTTTGGGAACCTCTGGTTCAGAATACATGTTTTCCACACACACTTACCCATTCAGATGTTTTGCTAATTCATTTTAGTTCTACTCTGCATTGTCTAAATTAGCGAATATGTATCATATATATATTTTTTAAAGAGTTGAAGAAAGGAAGTGACCCCTATACTCTAGCTCATTATAACTCAATATTAAAAGCATTTTTTTTTTACCCAGATTACTTAAATCAGCATTCCACGCCAACACTTTCCTTTTGAACCCTGGTCTGGCCCTTTTTATGTGCAATGTTGGTTAATATACACTGGGCGTAACGGCGATGAGGCAGGTTTTCCCGTAGTTCGTAGTCACATCGCTGATCTGGCTGTTTGGACGCCAGGACCTAGGACCGGAAACTCATTTCAATGGCATGTTCCTCTATTACCCAGAAAAATCGCAAGGATCCGTGAGCTGTTGATATCAATTTTGATACTAGGAAGTGGGGTGCAGCTGTAACAATATGTAAAAGTGTGGAAGTGGCTTTGGAATTGTGTAATGGGCAGAGGTGAGAAGTGCTTTGAAGCTCTTGATAGAAAAAGCGTAGATTACCTTTAAGAGATTGTCGATAGAAATGCGGACATTGAAGGCAGCTCTGGTGAGGGCTCAGAGAGAGGAGAGGAGAGCTGCAGAGAAAGCTTCTGTTATCTCAGAGAAGACATGATCGTCTCGCACAGAATGTTCCTAGAATTAGGAGCATTAAAGGAGCTTCTGTGAGGTCTCATTGGGAAAGGAGGAACGTGCTGTTAGACGCTGGGAAAAGGTGATCCCTGTTATAAAGTATCTGAGAACGTGGCTGAATTATGTTGTGCTGTTGGGGAGAAAGTAGAACTTGTAAGTGATGAAGAACTTGGATATTAAGCTGAGGAGATTTCTAAGCAAAGTATGGAAGGTGAAGTCTGGCGTCTCCTTGCTGCTTATGGTAAAATGTGAGAGGAAAGAGATAAATTGAAGAAGGCACTGCTAAGCAAAAAAAAAAAAAAAAGAAGCAGCACTTGATCTGGAAATTTCTCAGCCAGTCCAGGTAGTATACCATAGAAATAGCCAAGAGCGTGGTGCAACGAATGTTTGCTACGTAAGGAGTGTGACTCATGGATGCAAGCGACTATCTCAGCTGAAGCCGGGAACAGAGATGCAGTTGTTCAAGAACGCTCTGTGGAGGGCCCTCTTGTCTGATGACTTGGGTCCCAATGAATGGCATAAGAGGCTGACAAGGTTTTTAAGAATTTTATACCAGCAGAAACAGTACCAGTCTGGACTGGAAGGGACAAAAAAAAATTAAGAGAGAATGACTCCAAGACCAGAGCTATGAATGCAGAAGCCTGGGCCGACAGGACCTCCTCAGGGTAGGGCCACTGGCCTGGTGGCCCAACAGAGTAAGGCTGCCACTACGGCGGGCCCAGAAGGAAACACCATCACACAGTGGAGAATTATTCTCAGGTCTTGAAATCTAATAGAACTTGCCCTCCTAGGTTTTGGACTTACTTGAGACCCAATTTCTCCCTTTTGGAATAGAAATAGCTGTCCTATACCTACATATTGTATTTTGTAAGCAGATAACTTGCTGTCCGATTTCACAGGTCCACCGCTGGAGGGGAGTTTTGCCCCAGGGTGAGTCATATACTCGGAGTCTCCTCCATAACTGATTTG